CGTGTCCCGCATCCCTCCTGTTTTCGTCGCGCATCCCATGTCCGGCATCGTTCCCGCGTCCCGCGTGCGTCCGCGTCAGACATCCCGCGTCCTTGGTTCCCACACGCATCGCCCATCGCAAGCAGTAGCCCAAAGCGTTCTCGCGCCCCCGTGCCATCGTGGCGCATACCACGTCCCGCGTGCCTCGGCGTCCCCAACCCGAACCCCACGTCCCTGCATCACGCGTCCCGTCCCCAATCCGGTGCCGTGAAATTACGTGATGGACTTGTCAGACGGTTGAGGGTTTATGGTTTAGGTGTGTGGGACAGCGCAAACGGCGAAAGCACGGCAGCAAGGGACCGGCAAAGTCCCTGCGCCGGGTTCCTTTGGTCAGCAGCGCCTTTACTGCAATGACAAAGCATACGTGGCAACTACGTGATGGACTTGTCAGACGGTTGAGGGTTTATGGTTTAGGTGTGTGGGACAGTGCAAACGGCGAAAGCACGGCAGCAAGGGACCGGCAAAGTCCCTGCGCCGGGTTCCTTTGGTCAGCCTTTACTGCAATGACTAAGCATACGTGGCAATGAACGGCAAGCAGGGGACAGGCAAGATCCCTGCGCCAGACAAGTTCAGCAGCGGCTACACATAATCGATTCAATTTCAGTGTGACAGCAAGAGCCAACGGAAGGAGCAGGTCGGGCCGTGAGGCGCGGTGCCCCAGGGCACCACAGACCCCCAACTCACCCTCCCCCGCAGCGTTCCCCCGACAGCACAAACTGCCATTTGTTGGATAGAATGACTGGATTCAATTTCAGTGTGACAGCAAGAGCCAACGGAAGCAGCAGGTCGGGCCGTGAGGCGCGGTGCCCCATGGCACCACAGACCCCCAACTCACCCTCCCCCAGCACCGTTCCACCGACAGCACAAACTGCCATTTCTTGGATAGAATGACTGGATTCAATTTCAGTGTGACAGCAAGAGCCAACGGAAGCAGCAGGTCGGGCCGTGAGGCGCGGTGCCCGAGGGCACCACAGACCCCCAACTCACCCTCCCCCAGCAGCGTTCCCCCGACAGCACAAACTGCCATTTGCTGGATAGAATGACTGGATTCCATTTCAGTGTGACAGCAAGAGCCAACGGAAGCAGCAGGTCGGGCCGTGAGGCGCGGTGCCCCATGGCACCACAGACCCCCAACTCACCCTCCCCCAGCACCGTTCCACCGACAGCACAAACTGCCATTTCTTGGATAGAATGACTGGATTGAGTTAGTGGAAGCAGCAGCGGCAAGGCCCAAGGCAGCAACAGCCGCGCGCCTCGAGACCGCGAGCGGAAACAGCAGCGGCAAGGCCCAAGGCAAAAACGGTGTACACCGGAGGGCGATGTAACCTACATCCCGGTGAAAGCGTTCGGCGCCGGCATCATCAGCACCGCCTATGGATCGCCGTGCGACTTCGGGTCGCTGCAGAAGCAAACGTCGACGCCGTGATATACTGTGATACATATATATATATATATATATATATATATATATATATATATATATGTTTGTATACATTTATGGGTGGTTGCCGTACTATATTAAATACCAAAAAGGGACTATGTTTCTCTCTACAAATATAGTTCTAGAAAAGCACTGTATGCATGCGCATGGCAAAAGCAAGAATAACATGTGCGTGCTCATGACTGACCCAAAAGAAAAACTGCCTCGAGAAACAATTGATTTGATGCATTTGAAAGTGGTGGTTCGTGCTGGAATGGAAAAGTTTCCAACTTTCTTGCTGGCATGGGAAAGTTTCCAACTTTTCTTGCTTGAAAAGACAGGAAGCACTACACGCACAAAAATGAAGAAGCAATGGTCGGAAACCAAAACCTTTCTGGAACATTAAGAACAAGGAAGGGAAAGCCGAACACATGAGAAACGGTTGGACCCAAAAACTTCACAGAGCTGGAACATCGAAAAAAAGGTCGAACACGGGAAGGACGCAGAACAGCAAAATTGAAATAATCGAAAACACCAAAACTTCACGGACGAGGCTGGGACATCAACAAAAGGAAAGTGAGAGTCGAACACACGAACAAAGGATGAACAGCAAAAAATTTTGAAAGAAAAGGTTTGAGCAGCAAAAGTTCACGAAGGAGGCTAGAACTTCAACAGAAAGTGAACACCAAAAGTTGACAAAGAAGGCAAAAACTTCAAACAGAAAGGAAAGCGAGGGTCGAACCCACGAAAAGGAGGGAGAACAGCAAAAATTTTGAAAGAAATGGTTTGGACACCAAAAATTGACAAAGGAGGCAAGAACTTCAGCAAAAAGGAAACCGAGAGTCGAACCCACGAAAAAGACAGATGACAGCAAAAATTTTGAAAGAAATGGTTTGAACACCAAAAGTCACAAAGAAGGCTGGAGCTTCAACAAAAAGGAAAGCGAGAGTCAAACCCACGAAAAAAGAGGGAGAACAGCAAAAATTTTGAAAGAAATGGTTCGAACACCAAAATTACAGAGAAGGCAAGAAGTTCACCAAAAAAGGAAACCGAGAGTCGAACCCACGAAAAGGAAGGAGAACAGCAAAAATTTGGAAAAAATGGTTTGGACACCCAAAATTGACAAAGGAGTCAGCAGAAAGGAAAACGAGAGCGAACCCACAAAAAGGAGGGAGAACAGCAAAAATTTTGAAAGCAAACGTGAACACCAAAAAACTTGCACGGAGGAGGCAGGAACACCAACAAAAGCAAAGCGAGAGTCGAACACACGAAAGAAGGAGAACAGCAACAATTTTGCAAGAAAAGGCTGCACAGCAAAACTTGCACGGAGAAGGTAGGAACTTCAACAAAAAGGAAAAGCAAGTTGCAAAAATTTGAAAGAAAAGGCTGCACAGCAAAACTTGCACCAAAACTTGCACCAAGGAGGCAGGACTTTTATCAGTTACAAAAAGAAGGAAGAACAGCAAAACTTTTGAAAGAATTGGTGGGAACAGCCAAAATTACGGAGGAGGCTGGAACATTTGCTCAAGCAAAGTCGAACACGAAAGGAGGACGAAAGTTTTGAAAAGAAAAGGCTGCACAGCAAAACTTGCACGGAGAAGGTAGGAACTTCAACAAAAAGGAAAAGCAAGTTGCAAAAATTTGAAAGAAAAGGCTGCACAGCAAAACTTGCACCAAAACTTGCACCAAGGAGGCAGGACTTTTATCAGTTACAAAAAGAAGGAAGAACAGCAAAACTTTTGAAAGAATTGGTGGGAACAGCCAAAATTACGGAGGAGGCTGGAACATTTGCTCAAGCAAAGTCGAACACGAAAGGAGGACGAAAGTTTTGAAAAGAAAAGGCTGCACAGCAAAACTTGCACGGAGGAGGCAAACCATGGAACCAAAACAACAAAACGAAAAGTTGGAAACTTGCATGCTTCCAAGTTTCCAACTTTAGAATGCGCGCGGAAAGTTGGAAATGCAGTTGTTTGCGCGCGCGCGCGCACGCGCACGTGCAGCAGAAAGTGCAAAATTGTTCGTTGCACTTTTGAAGCCTTCGATCCTTGCACTTTGCTTTTGCTCCTTGATTGCACTTGCCTTTTGCACTCCAAATTCGTCCCTACAATTCTCGCGGGGTGCAACGTGCAAGAAGCAAGAATGTAAAGTGCAAGGAGTAAGGGTGCAAAAAGTGCAAGAGCAAGCGTGCAAAGTGCAAAAGGCAAGTTCAATGTGAGAGCGAGTGCAAGGCAAGAGTGCAAAGTGGCGAGGGTTTCAGGTGCAAAGGTACAAGATCAGATTGGAAGGGGCATGCAAGGCACGGGTACGAAGTGCAAGGAGCGAGGGTGCAAAGTGCAAAACGCAAGGGTGCAAAGTGCAAATGCAAGGGTGCAAAGTGCAAAAGGCGAAGTGCAGTGGAGTGGAAAGGGTGCAAAGTGCAGGGTGGAAGCAAAAGGCATGGATTTAGTGCAAGGTGCAAAGTGCAAGCAAGGTTCAAAGTGCAAGAAACAAGGGAAGTTTCCAACTTTAGTGTGCACGGAAAGTTGGAAATGCAGTTTTTGTGCCAACAGCCAAAAAAAGAAAGTGCAAGAAGAAGGTTCAAAAAGTGCAAAGGGACAAGAATTCAAAATGGAAGGTGCAAGGCGAAGTTCAAAGTCCAAGAAGCGAGAATGCAAAAAAATGGCGCCTTTCACGAATGCCTTTTCAAGGGTGCCTTCAAAGGGTGTTTTTGGAGGGGCCCTTGCAAAGGAAGCCTTTTAAAGACTTCTTTTCTCAGACGCCCTTTGAAAGGCACCCTTCAAAAGGCATCCTTCAAAGGCACCCTTTGAAAGGCACCTTTGGAAAGGCACCCTTTTCCGACACGGCCAGTGAAAGGCACCTTTGAAAAGGCATCCCTGAAACACACGCTGTTCCAAGACACCCTTTCAAGGCACCTTTTGAAAGGCGCCCTTGGAAAGGCAAAAGACACCCTTTCCAAGACGCGGGTTCAAAGTGCAAGGGTGCAAAGTGCAAAAAGCGAGAGTGCAAAGTGCAAGGGCTGCAAAGTGCAAGAGGCAAGGGTTCAAAGTGCAAAAGGCGAAGTGCAGGTGGAGTGGAAAGGGGCAAGTGCAAGGGGGGTTCAAAGTGCAAGGGACGAGGGCACAACCCTTCGAATGTTTTTTGCTGTTGGCTGGGTTTCCAACTTTTTGTTTCAAAAGCAAACATGGAAATGACCAAAAGTTGGAAATCAGCGCTGGAGCTGCGTTCTTTGAGTGCTGGAACCAGGCCGTGGGGTTTCCAAGTTTTTGGCGTTCACTGTAAGGTATACCCAAAAAGGACAAGAATCGAAAAACCCTCCACCCGCAAAACCCTAACTCCTTATTTTCCACCGACCCGAATCCTTGATTCTTACCGGAACCCTCCAATAGTAGTTCATGAAAACAGGGTTTGCAAAAGTTTAGGGTTTAGGGTTTAGGGTTTAGAACGGTTCGGCGGTTTGGTAAGGGGTTTGTAGCATTCATTGATGGACTGTTGCCTAATGGGCAGATATCGGAAACTTTGGTGCCCTTGCGTTCCCAGACACTCTGACCAAGCTCGTTCCCGCTGAATCTCTCCACCTTGTGGTAGACAAAATACCAGAGCCTCAGGCTTAGGGTTTGGGGCTTAGGGCTTGGGGTTTAGGGTTTAGGGCGTCTTCTTGCCCTCTTGCGCAGTGGATGGTAATCCATGCTAGGACCGCTAGGATGGCATCTCACACCGGGGCTTGTGGGTGGTGGCATATTACGCGTCAAGCGACCTTCCTTGCATGTGTCACAGAACTCGGTGAAATCGGAAGTTCTCTCAAAACTGCACACGCAACCACCCAAACAACGGGTTGAAGGCTGACGCCATCAATTCCCACAACGAGCAGACAGCACAGGGGCCAGGCAGGACATGAGGCAGGTAGGCCCAGCTGTGGCTGGAGCCCTTGACAGCCCGATCATAGGCTCCACCCATTGCTTTGGCCCAGTGCAGGTGGAAAGGCTGCCGGGTGCAAATTTAGGGCATAGGGTTTCTGGTTCGGGCTTAGGGTTTCGGGGTCAAGGGCTTAGGATTTAGGGCTTCGGGCTTGGGGTTTAGGGTTTCGGGTTTAGGGCTTGGGGTTAAGGGCTTAGGGTTTAAGGGTTAGAGGTGAGAGTGCCGGATTCAGGAATTAGGCTGCGCAGCAGAACCTCGTCTTTCATAGCCAGCCCGAAACAGCCGAATAAGCAACATGGAATCTGAAGACGAGGCCAAGTATCGACGCATAGACTTGCGCAGGACGAATTGGATTTGGGATTCAATAGGAAGTTTTCTGAAAGGGATCCAAGCTCAACACCTAAACTTGAAACCCTAAGGCCCTAAACCCCTCGTACACAGCCTTTACCGAACATCTCCCCTAGAACCCTGCTAGAGGCCCTATCGGCTAATGGAACCCCCAAAACATCCCTCTATCAAACTCAGCCTGAACCGGATCTGGTCTCCTAGACCCTGGAAAAACCTAGCAATAAAAAGGGTGCCCTTTTTGGTTTGAAGGGGGTTATAAGGGAACCTAAACCTTAAAAAAAGGGATAAGGGCCTACTCTAGGTCCTAGTCTCTCAATTAAAACGGCCTCTCTTTTTGGTATTGGGTAACTTTATAAGGAACCTAGGACTACAAAAAGGGAATAAGGGTACTACTGGGCATCCAAGATACCCTGCTCTCTAAAGCATGCCTACTGACTCACCAGGCGGCAAGAAGATCGCTCAAACCTGCCCTAGACCCTAATCCCCTAAACCCTATGCCCAACCCGAAAGAATCCCCTAAATCCTATGCCCTAAACCCGAAAGAATCCCCTAAATCCTATGCCCTAAACCCGCAAGAATCCCCTAAAGCCTATGCCCTAAACCCGAAAGAATCCCCTAAATCCTATGCCCTAAACCCGAAAGAATCCCCTAAATCCTATGCCCTAAACCCGAAAGAATCCCCTAAATCCTATGCCTTAAGCCCGAAAGAATCCCCTAAACCCTATACCCTAAACCCAAAAGAATCCCCTAAACCCTCGACCCTAAACCCGAAACCCCTAAACCCTAGACCCTGAACCCTAAACCCTACACTACACCAAAGCGACCCAGGCGCACACCCCCAAGGCCTGCAAACCAAAGCCCACAGATTCCGATGTACTTCCTGGGCACGTAAACTCGAACTTCAGGTCAGGGGGAGGTTACGCGGTTTTAGGGTGTGGGGTTCAGGATCATGGTGGAATGCTTTGGGTTTTGGTTTAAGGTATGGGCTGCAGCACCATATCGTTGCACCATTTTTTGTATATATACATATATATATAAAGAGAGAGAGAGAGAGAGAGAGAGAGAGAGAGAGAGCGCTCTATGGGGGCACGATCATCTTGGACAGAGAAAGCCAAACGAGAGCTGGAAACTTCGAGGACGTTGATGGCTACTGTCGCCTGACCTGTGACCGCAAACCCTACAAAACAGTACGGCCATGACCCCTTCACGATCCTTACAGCGATAGGTTTTCAGATCCACACCGAAGTACTTTGGGGTTAAGGGCCCTGTATTATAGATCCCTTACAGTAAGCCTGATAGGAACCCCTTTAAAGGAACCCTATTCAAATTCTTAAGGACCCTCTGTATTATTCAAGCAGGTCGAGACATCGCTCGGGGGACTTCTCATGACATCAGGAAGGAGATGCCGAGACAACAAACTAGGGTCTAGGGCTTAGGGTTTAGGGCTTAGGGTTCCGGGCTTAGGGTTTAGGGGTTTAGGGTTTAGTTGCGGTTGTAGTACCCTTTTCTAGGACCCTTATAGCCCGTCACCAAGCAACATCCACTTCGTTCTGAAGTAGCTTTCTGAGTCATACCCGGCAGCCTTGCAGCTGCCTTACCTACTGAAGGTCGTCTGGAGAGCCATATCAGGGGTCTTTAGGGCTTTAAAGGCTTCGGGTATATATCTACAGATGCAACACTAATTACGGCCAATGTCAACTGTAGGAGGTGCAATGTTTTAGGTGATGCTTGACCATGCACTGCAACAACATTTAGCAATCGGCAGTGATTACAAGGGGTATTACATCCTGCACTCTTCCGGGGGGCTGCGACAAGAGTTATATGCTACAGGGATCAATGTAGACAACCTGATTTACAAACCGTTGAGTCTGAATCTATGGCCCCGCATCTGCTGTGACCGTAGCATGGATTGCAAAGACCCTGTAGTCCAAATGCAGAGGACGAGATATGAGAGTCGAGATGGCGTGAATGGCAGCATGCCATGCGACATGTTCAGTAACCGACTTAAGGAATATACTTTAAATCATATCAGCGATCCTACTATAATTTAAGGTATGTTCCTTAGTTAAAGGGTATTTAGAAAAAGTAACCACTCATGCCTGGGTTTCATTGGGAATGCAATAGAAATTGTCCAGGTCAGGTGGGGTCTGCATGCTTCAGAAGATAATATACGGGCTTTAATGATTAGAATAGGATTTTTCTTGAAGGGGTCGAAAAGGCCTACTATAAGGCATCTGTTTGTTTCTAAGCGCGAACTTAGACTGGGGTTTGGGGGGCCCCCATTATACTGGCCTTGTGTTGGGCTTGCGCGGAGTCGCAGAGCTGCACTGCTTTTGGAGTCGGGGTGACAGAAAACTCATTCGACTCGCGCCACCGTCTTTTCTCAGCCCGGGTGCGGTATGGCACCCCCAACGGTGCAGACAGGTGTGCACCGGGTGGCGGTCCAATGCTGACAAGGACAAACTAGCAGTTACTAGCTAAGGCCTCATGATCTACCAGCAAAGCTGTGTCTTGATGTCGACCTTCTGGCTGCAACATCCTCCACCTCCCTTTCCGCCAACGGCCCTGCGTCCTTTGTTTGTGCTGCCACTTGAAGATAGGAATTGGTTCATGCCCTTGATGCAGCAGCGTAATGTTGCGGACTTCCTGTGACTGGGCTTGCCGCAAATGATGTCTCGGCCATACTTTTCGTGCTCGCACTCCTCTGTCTTCTCACACGATTCCAGAAGCTCTTTCAAGCCAGAGCTTTTCTCCACTGCGTCCACTGCTTGTCGGATGGCCGAACCAACTGCAAGGATCAGAAGAAAAATGAAGCGAAACATCAAACAACCTGAGGCTGGGGGCTCTGGGGAGCGATAGCTTTCGAGCCAATGGCGATCTGAACCCGGAAGCACTGGCAGACTGGGGCACATCGCATGTGAAACTGCTCTGCCAACATGTTAGGCTCTGATGTTTGTACGTCAGAACTGTTCATCAAGGCTTAAAAGAGTACTGAATATCTTTGAACATGGTTGAACATGTCTAAAGTTTAGACACGCACTGCAAGCATGCGTAAGATATGTGTCGACATCTTCAAGTGCTTCAAGTGCGGAAAATGCAGATGGCAGGAGCAACCGAGCTGCAGAAACCCGTGTCGATCCGCCAAGAAAGCGGCTAAAAGGGAGAACTTGTGAACCAACACAACAAGAATGACAGAAACAGCAACCTTTGCGGCTAGGACCTGGTGTGCCGGTACGTATATAAGCCGCTGTACAACTCCTAGGACAACTCCTCCAACCGGAAGGAAGCGTACTACAGAAGCCGCCAAGTAACCTTCACTTTCTCCAAAACCCAATGCCAGAACCTTTCTCCGAAACTCTTTACACTTGCCAATTGCGTTGCTTGCTCGTGTTCGGAGACTTGGGTGCGGGGAGAAGTAGACTTCCATATTGGGAGTAGCAAAAACTGGAAAACAGGCCCGTTGCAATGGATTGTACGAAGAAGCACGGTTTCATGTGTTAGGAACGACATCATCACAAACGCTGTCAAAATAGCGGCGCCTATACTGAACCGTTGGAAAGATAAACATCTTTAGGTCAACGTAATGACGCATTTACGCAATGTCAAACTGCTGGATGATAGCAGGTCCTCTGCCTCACCAAGAGAGTACATACATACTACTATTTCGGAATTAGGTCCCTCAACACCACGACTAGAATTGTCTTCTGGTGCCCAATTCCATATTCATGGTTGTATCGTTGGATATTATACACTTACCAAGACATCTCTGAAAGCGCTCTGCGCATCGGCGACTTTCCGAATCTGCACCAACAGCCGCTATGGAGCACAGGCTTTGGGGAGGTTTAGAGTTTGCACCCATCCCTGAAATCGTAAATGGCAGGGGCAAGGCTCGCGTATGTCCAACCACCAAACCGTCCGTCACGTGGGCACTTTTCCTCGGCCAGTGGCCAACCGGATAACGGCAAAATTAGGCCAGGGAAAAGAAGCAGCTTCATGGCTTAATTGCTTTGGCGGCAGCCAAGGCCGTAATCGCCACTACACTATCACCATTGCGGCAGCTGATGCTCCTGTTGCTGCGAAGCGATCCAGGCTGTAATGTGGTTAAATTTCAGCAGTGGTTCTTATGGGTCTTAGTCGACGGGTACCACAGGAGTTGCAGTACTAGCAGCTGCAGTAATCATCGGCGCGAGGTCAAGCGGCAACGACGGAAAGGAATTTGAGAATAATGCAACCTGGATGCACAGACCTTGGAGCCAAAATCGCGCTTGTATTTGTCTGCGCAGTATGAGCATAGGGCCCCGCCATAGCCCTTTGGACATCTGCCGGTGCACACGCGATGGGTGCATCCTGGTCCCAGGACACTAGACCCTAAAAAGCCCTGAAAGCCGTAAGCCCCAAAAAAGCCCAAAGCCTGAACCCGAAACCCTAAACCCTAAATCCTAAACCCTAAACCCTAAACCCTAAACCCTAAACCCTAAACCCTAAACCCTAAACCCTAAACCCTAAACCCGAAACCCTAAACCCTAAACCCTAAACCCTAAACCCCAAACCCTAAACCCCAAACCCGAAACCCTAAACCCTGGAGAGACTTTCGGGTTTCCTACTTGGGGGCTCATGGGTAGTTATAAGTGGGGCTATAAGTCCCCTAATATGGGTTATACGTATAATTACCCTACTTATCACCACACTTATAACCAGCCATGAACCTCCAAGTAGGCCCTAAACCCTATACCTCTGTAGAATCCCGACAGATCCCTTTGAACGGACCCTTAATCCCTATGGTGGAAGTCTGGAGCCCTAAACCCTAAACCCTAAATCCCAAACCCTGAACCCCTCAACCCCAAATCCCAAACCCTGAACCCTGAACCCCTCAACCCTAAACCCTAAACCGGTCCTGGCCCGAGACACTTGTAGCCTTACTTATAACTACCCTAAACCCTTTTTCAAAGGGCCCTAAACCCTTAAACCCCTAAACCCTGAACCCCTCAACCCCAAATCCCAAACCCTGAACCCTGAACCCTTAACCCCTCAACCCTAAACCCTAAACCGGTCCTGGCCCGAGACACTTGTAGCCTTACTCATAACTACCCTAAACCCTTTTTCAAACCCTAAACCCTTAAACCCCTAAAACCTGAACCCCTCAACCCCAAATCCCAAACCCTGAACCCTGAACCCCTCAACCCTAAACCCTAAACCGGTCCTGGCCCGAGACACTTGTAGCCTTACTTATAACTACCCTAAACCCTTTTTCAAACCCTAAACCCTTAAACCCCTAAACCCTGAACCCCTCAACCCCAAATCCCAAACCCTGAACCCGAAACCCTGAACCCCTCAACCCTAAACCGGTCCTGGCCCGAGACACTTGTAGCACATGTTAGAGTCGCCCACCGCCGTCTTCCCCTCCGGGCACGCGCAGCACCGGCTTCGGCTGGTGCTGGTATCCTGGGCTCAAAGTAACTATAAGGGGTTCCTTTAGGGTTACTTTAAAGGGATCTATAGGGATTCTGTAAGGGTTTAGGGTTTAGGGTTTGGGGGACTTAGTAACTGGTTATTTTAGGGACTTTTAACTACCATAACCCCAATTAGGGTCCTTTTTAGGGTACTTATAAGTCTACTTACTACCTACTTACTAAGTCCCCCGACCCTCCAAGTAAGGACCCAGAGACTTTCCTAGGGCCTGGGGTTCCTTTAAGGGATCTATAGGGGATCTATAGAATTTAGGGGTTTAGGGGGGGGTCTAATATCCCTTAGTTAAGGAATACTCCTTAAATTGTAGTAGGACCCCTATTATAGTTTAAGGTATATTCCTTCATTAAGGGATATTGGAGTCTCTGGGGAGCTTACGCACGTTCGCATAACCAGGAACCTATAGATCCCAATTGTGGAAACTTAAATTAACCTCCTTAACAAGAACCCAGTATCGCCATCTGGGATAGATGTCACGCCAGTGGGACATTTCCTGCAAGCCGTCCCGTCGTCTTCGAAGTTCTCAAGGCAAGTACATAGGTGCCGCGGAGCAAAAGTTTTCGGGGATATCCATAGGTCCTTGCTTGCCCCGATTCGGCCAGGGAAAGACGGATTGGCTTTTGGATGCTATGATGGGGCTCATATGGGAGCTTCCGAAAATGGGGGATGCTAATGCAGTACCCGACAGAGTAGGATCCTTATTAAAATGACTCCTACCCCTAATTTTCGGAAACTCCCATACGCATTGACCAAATCACAGGACCAGATGGACACTACTCGAATACCAAGGCTCGAAGAAGGGGTTCTCCCTGGAGTTGACCCATTCGCATTCCCAGCCCTCGCCATTGTTCCGCACTGCTCTCACGGATTGATTGCCTAAGTTCCGCAGTGTCCCCTTCAAAGCAAGTAAGGGTGCAATTTCTCCTGGTACTTTTTTAATAAGGGTGCCCTAAAACCCTAAACCCTAAATCCCTAAACCCTCAGGCCTAAAGTCAAAAAATTGCAAAAGGGTACTACCCAGAGACTCCAACATCCCTTAACTAAGAAATACCTGAAACTAAAGTCGGATCCCTTCTTCTGACTTAAGGTGTATTCCTTAACTAAGGGATATTGGAGTCTCCGGGTACTGGGGAACCAAGTTGCTGATTTCAAAAACGTCCTCCCACTTTCGCGGGCCGTCGGGGCCTCAGCGCTCTCTACTTGGAGGGTCGGGGGACTTAGTAAGTAGGGGGGCTCCTTCAAAGGGGATTCTAAGGGTTCCTTTAAAGGGCTCTATAGGGGTACTATAGGGTTTAGGGTTTAGGGTTCAGGGCCTCAGAGCTCTCTACCCATAGGCTCCATAGTAGTTCCTTTTTGGGATTACCTTATAGGATTGTACATATGAGCCCCAAAAAGGAACTACTATGGAGCCTCTAGGTATAGGTCCCGCAACGTAGGGGTCAGGGTTTTGGGTTTCGGGGCTTCGGGTTTTAGGGCTCAGGGTTTAGAAGTCAGGGTTTAGGGTTTAGGGTTACATAGGAAACTTCAGGGCAAACCAGAAGAGCATGATTTTGGTGACATACGGCTGGTGACATAAATCCTGCACTACCCAAAATAAGGAATATACCCTAATTCCCACAGCTTAGGGTCCCTAAGGTAATGCCGGATTTATATCATCAACCCCTAAACCCCTAAACCCTAAACCCCTAAACCCCTAAACCCGCGCCAAGGCCCAGGCCCTGAATCGATCCTTCGGCTTCTGAGTCGAAGCCAGACTCTCGGATGTTCAAGCTGCTGGGCCAAGCGAAGTACATCCTGAGCTCGTTTAGGGTTTAGGGTTTAGGGTTTAGGGTCTCGAAATTTGAGGACTCTTTCAAGACGGTCTTGTAAGGAAATCATAATATGTAACACTATATAAAATAGAACACCATGTAATCAGATATAATATCAGGAACCAAAAAGGGTAGGTGTCTTAGGGTCCGGGTAGGGCTGAGGGTTTAGGGATCAAGGCCAGGGACGTCGGCCCATGTAGCCAGTTTAGCAGCCCAAAAAAAACAGACGCGACTTCGTCACGTCTTAATGTGGTACGGAAAGTTCTGGGGTCCTATTCAGTTCAAGACAACCTCCTGTAGACAAACCGTGGGACGTAGTAACTTAAACCATGACGTCCATCAACTAGGGTTCTGGTGTCCAAAACCCACTTGTTTCGTGTAGTGACACTCGCCACTTACTATAATCCTACGCACTCAAAAACCCTTCCCAACAAAATGCCCTCCACCCCAAACCCGCAAGACCCTGAACACCGACTGCTATACTGAACTTAGAATCCTAGCAAAACCAAACATTAAAAACTATTTCTATTTACCCCTAACTACCATTTTTTAACATTAAAAACTATTTCTAAGTACCCCTAACTACCATTTTTTACCCAAGGAGCTCGGAGATGCGACTCAAGGGATTGCGTGAGAGATCGTAAGAGCAGTCTCCTTTCGGCCGGCCGGCCAACTCAGTGATGTTGTTGCCTGATTCGGGGTTTCGGGCATGCGGTTTGGAGTTGAAGGGTTTGGGGTTTCGGTTGAAGGTTTAGGATTTAAGGCTGACAGCTGACAGCTGAGGGGCGAGAGGTGAGAGGTCTTTGTCCAAACTACGAAGAGTAAGACCATTTTGCGCAGCTATTTAAGCTCGGCTTGCTGCGACGCTGATGTTTTGCTTTTTGATTTGGGGGAGCCCAAGCCCAAACCCCTTCTTCTATAGGGCTACAACACAGGATCCGAAATTCTGGATAATTCCATAAGCCTACTTTCAAAAAAATCACTTGAACAACTGGGGTAATCCCTACTATCAAAACAGTACTGTCTTACTACGCTAAAAAAGAACAGCCCCATAGCAAAGAGGGCCCTGGGCCATTTGGGGACTGCTGGCCTGAGAAGTCCAGGATGTAGAAGCCAAAGTATGTCGGGAAGAGCTTGTATTGCCGCATATCCTGATCAAAAGCTGCTCAACGGTCTAGGTTTTTACATGGTTTAGGGGATCGACTATGCAAGATGTCACGGTGCGGGACCGTAAGTTCTGCGGCACGCTATTTCGGCTTTAGCTTGTGTTGTGAAGGGAATCAGTTTCACTGCTGCAAGGATTCGATCTCGGGTTTAGATCTCACTGCTGGAACCCTGAACCCCGAAGCCGTTTGCGCGTCAGTGCCTGAGCCCCCAACCAACCCTAAGCCTCTTATGGGGGTTTCCCAAAATAGGGGACCTTAATATAGTTAGTACCCCAGATAGTAGGATCCTTTTTTATAAGGACCCCAACACAAGGTACCGCTAATTTCGGAAACTCCCATATCCCCTTCCTGGAACAAGGTTTTTGGCGCCGGCAGACGGTAATCCAGGTCAAGCCCCTGAACCCATCTAACACCCAAAAATATCCCAAAAATCCTTAACCCTTGCAACCCTAAACCCTGCACCCTCGACCCTAAACACCCAAACCCATCCGACCTACTCCCTTAATCTCCGAAACCCTAAAACCCTAAACCCTAAACACTAAAACCCTAAAACCCTAAACCCAAAAACCCTAAACCCTAAACACTGCATGCTAAGGCCCCCTGTGTTACCCCCCTTACTCCCTTCTTCCAGTTCCTCTCCTGCCGCGGAATCCCAACAGGAACATTCGTATCAAAAAGTATCATACGCCCCACAGCCCTAATCTAGCTGTTAAGGGCAGTAAACTATTCTTACCCCTAAACCCCTAAACCCTAAAACCCTAAATACCCTAAACCCTGTATGCTAAGGCCCCCTGTGTTACTTCCTTAAAGGCCCTTCTTCCAACCCGAATCCCTAACCCCAAGACCCTGAACTGAACCCAGACACTCCAACACTTCCTACTTGCTCGAGATTCCGGGTTTGGGGTTTAGGGTTTAGGGTTTACGGTTTAAGGTTTAGGGTTTGCGGTTCAGGGTTTACGGTTTAAGGTTTAGGCTTTGGGCTTTAGGGTTTAGGGTACCTACAAGGCTCCATCCTTCAGGAAGCCTCAACAAGTCCCTCGTCTCAGGTCCTGGATGGTTCCCCTCAGGCCGCAGCTCTCAGCCTCCAACCAGAACCTGTGGCTCTGGACTTTGCGGGGAAATTCCCTCCTTTAAGGGATCTCTATAGGGTTCAAGGGATCATTAGGGTTCCTTTTACGGGATCTATAGGGCTCCTTTAAGGGATCTACAGGCTTCAAGGGATCTCCAAAACCTACAAAAAAGTAGAGTCCCTACAAATTCCATATTGAGGTTTCATAATAGGAACTTTCAAAAAAGTCGGTTATGGTAGGTAAAGGTAGGGGAAGACCACGGGCTCCTCCAAGGGATCCAGGGATCGATTAAGGTTCAGGGGTTTACGGGATTCGAAGATCCCTTAGTTGAGGAAGATATCTTAAATCATATTAGGGAGCCTACTATAGTTTAAGGTATATTAATCCTATTAGGAATCCTACTATAGTTTAAGGCATATTCCTTAATTAAGGGATAGGAATCCTACTATAGCTTAAGGCATATTCCTTAATTAAGGGATAGGAGTCCTACTATAGTTTAAGGCATATTCCTTAATTAAGGGATAGGAATCCTACTATAGCTTAAGGCATATTCCTTAATTAAGGGATAGGAGTCCTACTATAGTTTAAGGCATATTCCTTAATTAAGGGATAGGAATCCTACTATAGCTTAAGGCATATTCCTTAATTAAGGGATAGGAGTCCTACTATAGTTTAAGGCATATTCCTTAATTAAGGGATAGGAATCCTACTATAGCTTAAGGCATATTCCTTAATTAAGGGATAGGAGTCCTACTATAGTTTAAGGCATATTCCTTAATTAAGGGATAGGAATCCTACTATAGCTTAAGGCATATTCCTTAATTAAGGGATAGGAGTCCTACTATAGTTTAAGGCATATTCCTTAATTAAGGGATAGGAATCCTACTATAGCTTAAGGCATATTCCTTAATTAAGGGATAGGAGTCCTACTATAGCTTAAGGCATATTCCTTCATTAAGGGATAGGAGTCCTACTATAGCTTAAGGCATATTCCTTAATTAAGGGATAGGAGTCCTACTATAGCTTAAGGCATATTCCTTAATTAAGGGATAGGTCCTACTATAGCTTAAGGCATATTCCTTAATTAAGGGATAGGAGTCCTACTATAGCTTAAGGCATATTCCTTAATTAAGGGATAGGAATCCTACTATAGGTTAAGGCATAGCTCTGGGCTCGAGACTTGCCAGTTAGTGGAGCTGCTAACTACCGATCCTCGAGGGTTCCGTTCTCATGGTGGGGGATCCTCGCTTGTCGGGGCTGCCTTTCGGATCCATCATTGACATGGTGGCTTATGTCAGAAGTTCGGACCTACATGGGGCGACTTTCGAGGCTTTGTGGAACCAAGAACAATTTCGGTGCGCGGGCTCTTTTGAGGCTGACCGGGTGTACACCTTTTATGGCATACAGTATCGTGGGGTGATCAGCTCACTTCATCATCTGTGTGTCCTGGAGAACACCATTACAATCTGCAGGCCAACCCTGACCGCTGGTTCTTACAGGTCCGTCAAGGAGGTTTGTGCAGGACTTGGTGGGATTTCCATTGGGCTTCAGCATTTGGGAGGTCGTAACTTGGCCGTGCTTGACAACAATCCAGTTGTCTGTTCGGTCCTTAGGGCTAATTTCGACACTGTGCTGGAAGGCGACATTGCAGACAGGACTGACCGCATCAGGCTACATCAAATTTCGCCCGAGATCCGCGGCATGCTTTGCGCCAGCATCCCCAGTTATGGTTTCCCCCCTTCCGGTTTAGGCCCAGGTTCCCTTGACCCTAGGCAAGAGATCCTGGCACATGTGTTGCAGACCACGTGGCACTTGCAGGCCTGTTGCCTCGTGCTGGAATGCTCGCCGGACATTGCCTTAAGCTCTCAGGCCATGCAGAGCATCACACAGCTTGCGGAGAAGGCCAATTTCGAGTTGCACTGTGTTGCCCTAGAACTTGCTGACCAATGGGCATCCCACCGTTGCAGTTGGTGGGCTGTCTTGCTTCCGGCTGGCCTGCCGCCCTTGCAGCTTTGTTCCTGGCCAGTGTTGCGCCCTGCACTCACTGTTCAGGATGTCATTCCTGAATGGCCTGTCTGGCCCAAAGCCACTGAAACTGCGCTTCAGTGGGACTCCAAAGAGATCGAAATCATTGGCGAGCCGAAGCCTGATCTTGAGCCACTGCTTCTAGCGGCTACGGACCCTGCGCCCACCGCTCTTCACAGTTGGGGCTCTGCTTTTCGACCCTGCCCTTGTGGTTGCCGCCCCTCTGCATTGAGCCAACACAGCCTTTGCAAATCACATTTCAGAGGGCCTGGTGTTCCGTCTGGTGTTGTTGAGGGCATTCGCTATCTGCACCCGGCTGAGGTAGGGCTGCTGAATTCTTTGCCACCTCTTTTTCTTCACCACCCTGACCCTAGGACTGCCCTCTGCTTTGTGGGTCAGCTTGCTGCCCCCCTTCAGGCGCTATGGGTATGGGCACATGTGCTTTCTTCCACGGCTCCCTGTTTCGGTGCTGGCCCACTCGATCCTCTTGCTGAGTTGGGTAAGTTCAAGACACTCTTGTTGCAACAGAGACAAGATAACTGGCTTCTTCCTACCATGTGCAATGAAGGCCAGCTGCTTTTGCAGGATGAACAAGGCCAGCGACTTGAGCGCGCCGTTGGGCCGATAACCGCTGGCCAACTCATTTGTGCTGAGACAGCTCTTTTGCCCCCGGGCTTCAAAGTGCAGGTTCTGGACAACGGCCGTGTTCTTCAGCGCTCGGCCAAGCTTGCTTTTCAACCAGCCGGCCCCTCCTACTACCTGCTTGTACAAAAGAAGGCGGCCGCTTTGGATCAACAATCTCTCCCGTGCATGCCAAGCTGCAATGCCACTCCCCGTGGAGGCTGCTCTGCCTCGGTGGCTCTTTCCCCTCCTGCTTCCTGCGACCCGCCGGAAACACAAACACCCCTGTCGACTCCACTCGATGCCTTGTGTTCTGTCGGAGCATCAGACTTCACCATTTGGTACGGCATCCTCCAGTGGATTCGCTGTCCTGCTGTCAGCATTGAATCCTGCTTGATTCCGCCCTGTGCTGCTGAGCTCCTGCTGCAGCTGCTGAGTGAGGACCTTCTCACTTCTGTTGCCGGCCCCATCTTGCCGCAGGGCCCTCTTATTCTGGTCCCTTTCGTTTCCCAGAGCCACTGGTCTCTGCTTGCACTTCGTGCTGGGCCTGCAGGTGTTGAGGCTGAATTGTGGGACGGAATTCCAGGCCGCAACCTGCACACTGCCAAGCTGATTGCGCAGGTACTCTGTCGACTGGATGGGGCAGCCTTGCTGTCTTTGACTGAGAGATCGCACTGGCTACAGCTTGATCCTGCTGCCTGTGGTGCCCATGTGGTGGCACATGCTGCTGCCCTTCTCATTCAAGCGGCTCCGCATGAGCTGCTCGGCTGGGCCTTGGATTTTCAGCGTGCCTTCCCGCCACATCTTGCTTTTCTTCAAGGTCTTGGCGGTCTGACTCCTGAGCAGGAGAAAGACTTGCGACTCTTGCTTGTTGAGAGAGGTGTGCCTGCCGATGCCGTCGCCTCGCGCACACAGGCTGCTATAGCTAAGGTCGGTCCTGGCCCTATTGCACAAGCACTCTTGCAGAAAAACCCTTGGCAGGCGCTGAAGGCTTGTGCTTCCAAGCCTTCTTGCATGTTCCGTTGGATTCTGGCAGAAGAGCTTCAAAGTCATGTGGAACAGCAAGCCCAAAAGAAGTTCGGAACTCAGGTCCCAGGAGCTAAGTCCAAAAAGGCTAAGCCTGCCCGGCGACAAATGCAGGCTCCGTTGCACGTCGACCCTTTGCAGCTTCGTCTTGCCCCAGGCTCCTTCACCACGGCCTCTGACTCGCCACTGGGCCAGCTTGCCTTCAATGAGGTTTGTGCTCAAGCCACGGGCATCTGCTTCTGCACCACTGCCCAAGCTGCCCCATTTGTGGCCCAGGCAAAGAATCTCAGTGTTGATCCACTTGCTCTCGTGACCACAGCCGAGATTTCCGCTGATCAGGTTGGTACTGCCAGGGTCAAGAGCATTCGCTATCCTGCGATTTTCGCTCCTACTGAGGAGGCTGTTCTGGTTGCCGGTTCCTTGATCCAGCTTGGTGACGATGATGTGCAGCTTGCCACTGCTGGCATTGCTGAACTTGACCGCATTGACACTATAGTTTGCCGGCTCAACCTGTTCAAGGACGAGAGCACTCTGGCTTGGGATAAGGTTGCCGAGGCTCCCATCCGAGTGCTTCTGCAACAGATCCCCGCGCTCCGGGTCTGTGTAGACCCCTCGTGCAGCCAGGCCTGTGGATGCTTCCACTCAGCTGTTGACGAGGTCGTGGAACACCTTTTCCTTGACATCTGGGCCCGCCAGTGGTGCCGATTAGGTGGGGCAAGGGTTAAGGCGACCGAAGCTGATGTTTTCCAAGCTTATGTGCGTGTGCCGGCCTCAGCGGTGACTCACCTGCTAAAGCTTGTTCACACAGGCCTGTATTTCGAGCCTCGGGCTTGCGACGGCACTGGCCCCCACCCTGCATGGTCTGTCGTGTGGTTGCCGGGAGCCTCTCTCGCCACTGCACAACATGCTCTTCGCACGACCGAAAAGGCCCTTGCACTTGCCAGGTTGGGAACCAAGTACGGTTTGAGAACTCGGGAAGCCGATGAGCAGCAGGTTTTCGAGCTGCACAGGCCCCAACACCAATTCTTGAAGGTGCGGGTCTCGGCCCACTACCGTTTGCACCCGCTCCCTCACGGACTGCAACGGCCGGCTCTGGTCCAGCTCCTGAAACAGTGGGGCTGGAACGGCAAACCTCTCCAGCCGGATCGAGGTGACTCCATTGGTGCTGCATGGCTCGTCGGGGCCTCATGTGAGCCCCCTGCTCCTGCCCTGCCGCTTGGCACTGACTTCGTTTTGATCTCCAAGCTTCGTGACATTGGTGCCTCTGGGAAATCTGCCCCTCTGCCGGTCTACGCCTCTTTGCGTACCAAGAAAGCTTTGCTGCTTGATGACGACGAGTCCAGTGTAGACCCATGGTCGTGTGGCCCGGACCCATGGACTTTGGCCAAACCTCCGGCCAACTCTACTGCTGCCCCTTCGGCCTCTGCTTCGACTGCCAGCACCAAGCTCGAGCAAATCAAGGCGGACTTGCGCCAAGACCTCCAGCAGCTCGTCAGCGACCAGCTTGATGCCAAGCAAGCCAATGATCCCCCGCCGGGGTTGAGTGATCATGACCACCGCCTTCATCAACTCGAGGTTGGGCTGAGCGAGGTTCGTCACCAAAATGTGAAGTTTGAAAGTTGGTTTCAATCCTTCGGGACGAAGGTGAGCGATCAAGCACAACAAATCCAGACCCTTGCCGGCACTGTCAAGGAGCAACACCAGGAGCTCACCAAGGTGCGTACTGATGTGCAGAGCTCCATCAAGTCTGCCGTCGTTGCATTGCAAACCGACCTGTCGGCGCAGATGAGTGCTCAGCTTACTGGGCAGCTTGAACAAATTCAGTCGATGCTTGCGGACAAGAAACCCCGCACCAGTTGACTACCTCCCCCCGGACACTTAGCTCGGCGACGGAGTGGGCCGGTGACTGGGTTTCGTCTTCAGCTTTGGACTTGGGCCTGCATTTGGTATGGCCTTCTCACTTGTGCTTTTGGTGGCTCCATGCCTCCCTGTCGCGACTTTACCTTTGGATCGGGTTGCCGGGTTCAGTTCTGCGACCAATCTTTGGCTGCTGCCGTCCATCGCGACCGCCATACCGGTCCTGCGACTCTTTCTGAATGGCCTTTGTCCCCTGCGCTGTCTGTTCAGCTGCCTACTCAGCTCCCGGACTTGGGTGCCGCCAGGCTCCTTTGGTCACCAGCTGCTTTTCGATACGGCGAGGCCGCGCATCCTGGGCCCCCTCCGTCTTTCTTCTTGAGCACTAGCAATCCCTCTGGACTCCGCAACAAAGAGTCCTTTTTCGCCGACTGGGGTGTCGGCATTCACTGCTTTGCTGAGACACAGCTCTCAGCTGCCACGTTGCCCGCCTCTAAGGCTCACTTCCGTCGCCATGCAAAAGACATGGGCAGACTTGCTCGCTTTGTTCCGGGTGCTCCTGCACCCCTCCGCACCAACAGTCTCTGGGCTGGGGCCTGGACCGGCGTGCTACAAGTCAGCGACTTCCCGTGCCGACCACATCAAATCTCGTACCCCTCAGGCCTCTTCGAGTCCGGTCGCATTGTGCTTGCCCGGCATTACTTGGAAGCTGTGATGTTTCAGGTGGCCACTCTTTATGGTTACCCCTCCGGGCCGACCTGGCCTGATGCCAGACACCGCACCGATGATATGCTCCAGTGCCTCACTCAGGAGCTGGTTCTGGGATCTCGGGGCCCTCGTGTCATTACGGGTGACTTCAACCATGACTTTGGATGCCTGGACCAATGTGCCATTTGGCGCAGTCACGGCTGGATTGAGCTTCAGTGCTTGGCCGAGTCCCATTGGGGGATGACTCCCAGGCCGACGTGCAAACATGCAACCCGTCGGGACTACATTTGGTTGTCTCCTGAAGCTGCTGCTTGCTGTGTGCATGCTTCTGTTCTTGATGTCTTCCAGGAGCATTCTACTCTAATTGCTGGGTTTTCTCTTTCGGGCCATGCCGTTTCTGAGATTACCTGGCCTTTGCCTTCCGAGATCCCGTGGTCTGAGGTCAGTGTTGAGGAATGGCATCTCGCTGGGGTTCACGAGCCCACCCCCGCATCTGACCCCACCGTGTGGTACAGCAAGTTCTCTCATGCCACAGAGCGCAGCTTGAAGGGCTTCGTGCCTGGACTTCCAAACAATCACATTCCCTCCTGTTGCTTCGGCCGTGGACGCCGCCTCACGCCTCAGGTGCAGCAACACAGTGATCCTATTCCCAAGCCTAGCCGTCCTGGCGAGGTTATGATGCGGCACGATGGGTTGTGCACTGAAGTCAAGCGATGGTTTCAACAGCTCCGTCGGCTCCAATCCTTGACGCATGCGCTCAAGGCCGCCAAGTCTGAGCCTGCCGCGGTGGACTACCGACTTGCACTTTGGCGGTCCATTTGCCGGGCCAAGGGTTTCTGTGGGGGCTTCTCTGCGTGGTGGGCCAAGAGACCCACTCGTCTGGTTGGAAGCCCGACAATGTTGCCCCAAACTGTTCCCGATTCAGGTACTGCCACCTGCCTGTTTGAGGACTTCCGGTGCAATTACCGCAGACTTGAAGCCTGGCATCTCCAGCGACGTGGGCAGATTTTGTCTTGCAAGTACGACAAATCATTGTCTCAGCTCTACTGCGAGCTCCGCGAACCCGCTCCGGAGCAAGTGGACACTCTTACAGTGTCCCGGGATTATGCCATTTTGGCTGTTTCCGACAAACAGGTGCACCTGAGCAGTTCTCTTGACCTGCGAGGCTCCTCCACTTGGGCAGTCGATGGACAACCGGTGGAGATATGTGAAGTTGATGATGTGGTGTGCACTCTGTCGGTTCCTGCATGCCCCGGACAAGAGCTTGAGCAAACTCAGACACTCTCCTCTGTGCCGGATATTCACTCTGAATTCGTTTCCCTGTGGGCCAGCCGTTGGCAACAACATGCCACGCTTACTGCCCCCGACTGGCAGCGCTTTTTAGCTTTTGCTGCCGCTTTCTTGCCTCGACAGGTTTTCAGCCTGCCCCGCATTTCGGTTGAAGACTGGCTCCGAGCAGTCAAACGTTTTCGCCCCAGAGCAGCCCGTGGCCCTGACGGCTGGGCTAAAGCCGACCTTCTGAACATGCCTCCCCCCCGGACTCAGCAGCTGCTGGATTTCCTTGCACAGCTTGAGGCCGGTGAGTGCTCTTGGCCACAGCAGCTTGTTGTGGGATTCATTTGCCTTCTGTCCAAACAAAACGGCCGAGCCGATGCCCACGGCTATCGCCCGATTTGTCTGTACTCAATCATTTATCGTGCTTGGGCCGGCCTCCGAGCTCGACAAGTGTTGCAGGCACTGAAGCATTGTGTGCCAGATGGGTTGCATGGCTTCGTTCCTGGTCGAGAGGCCACATCTCTGTGGTACGGCATCCAGGCGGAAATTGAGCTTTGTGCCCAGGGCGATGCCCCACTTCTTGGCCTGAGCACGGACATCATCAAGTGCTTCAATAACCTCCCACGCCTCCCTTTGTTGGCTGTCGCTGCTCAGCTGGGCACACCGTGGCAGGTTCTTCATCCTTGGACGGCCTTTCTCACACAAACTGAAAGGCGATTCCTTGTCCGTGGACAGGTCAGTGAGCCGTTAAAGTCTACTTCGGGCTTTCCGGAGGGGTGCCCGCTGAGCCCCCTCGCCATGCTACTGGCAGATGTCGCATACCATGCCTACATGCAAGCCTTCGTGCCGGAGGTTCGTTCTTTGAGCTACGTCGACAATCTCGCCACCTTGGCATCCACTCCGGCTCAGCTTGCCCGAAGTTACCAGGTTACTCAGAGCTTCATGGATTTGCTCAAACTGAGCTTGGATGTAGCTAAGACTTACACTTGGGCGACTGCCCCTGCGGATCGTAGGGTCCTTCCGGCTCTGGGGTTACCGGTATCCGACTCCGCCCGTGAACTTGGTGGGTACCTGGCCTTTGGACCACGGGTCCATAATGCAGAGCTTCAGCTCCGGTGCACTGCCTTGCAACCCGTGTGGGCTGCCCTGCGGAGGTCTCGTGCGCCTCTTGGGCTCAAACTTTCTGTGTTGCCGAAAAAGTGCTGGGCGCGCGCACTACATGGCATCGCAGGTTGCCCTCTTGGCCAGGCACATTTGCAATCCTTGCGCACCAGCGCCACCTCTGCCCTACAGATTCGGCCTGGTGGATCCAGCTCACTCCTTCGTTTGTCTATTGTGCCTGACATGTGTGCCGACCCGGGGTTCTATCAGCTATGGGCCTGCATCCGAGACTTGAGACGCATGGCTTGCAAAGTCAGTGGTCTCCTCGGCTCATGGCGTAGTTTTATGGCTGCTTACGATGGTCGGTCCCTCCACGGACCTTTCACCAAACTTCTGCAAGTACTGTCTCAGGTCGGCTGGGCCGTTCTGGTCCCCCCCTTGGTGATGGACCATGAGGGTTTGCAACATGATGTGCTAAAGGCCCCTGCTCTTTTGTTGCGACGGCGACTGGAGCACGCCTGGCTGAGGTTTGTCGCCTTTGCTCACAAGCATCGGGCCACCATGCACGACCTGGACGGCATCGACCCGTCGCTCTTGCAAGCTGATGTCGGTGGGCTCTCCGCCCTTGATACGGCTCGGTATGCCGCGGTTCGGTCCGGTGCCTTTCTCTTTGATCACGTCCAGTCGCGGTTTGACTTCACCAAAACCGGTGATTGTGACCTTTGTGACGTGCCGGATACTGCCCAACACCGTGTTTGCGTCTGCCCAAAGTTTGTGAATGCAAGAAGGCCGCATGAATGGGTGTGTGCCAGATGGTCTTCGTTACCATCGTGTGTCACACACCACCTGCTACCTCCTGACAACCCGCACCTGCCGCTTTTGCGCAAACTCCTGCATGGTCTGCCGGATCTTTCGGGTTCTTTTATGTGTTCAGGGACTAGTTTGGGCTGGCAACACCTTTTCACGGATGGCTCATGCTACGATGCTTGGGGCAATGACTTCTCCCTTGCTGCCTGGGGCATCATACATGCTCAGCTGGGAGTTGCCTTGGCTTGTGGCCCAGTGCCTGGTGTTCTTCAAACGGCTCCCCGGGCTGAAGCTTGGGCCATGATCGCTGCAGCCAAATGGGCTATCTCAGTGGCTAAACCTTGTTTGATTTGGTCGGACTGTCTCAACGTTGTTGATGGAGTACAGGCCATTCAAAATGGACAATGTTTCGAGGCCCATGCCGACGCCGACCTTTGGGACATCCTGGCAGCTCTTTTGGCTCAGCTGGACCCTGCACAATTTCAGGTTCGCCATACCCCCTCTCACTTGGATAAGGGTCTTACCACTTCTCCTTTTGAGGATTGGCTGGCGTGCCACAACGGCCATGCAGATACTCTGGCGAATTTTGCCAATTCTAACAGGCCGCAGTACTTCGTGCAAGTCTACCAGGCCGCGCTCCGCTACCACTCTGACATGCTGCAGACGCTTCGAGCCCTTCGCGGAATCTACTTTGCTATCGCTGATGCCACGGCCAGCCGAGGTGGCCGTACACGAGAAGGCGTTGAGTCTGCAGATCTTGAGGAGCGAGCCCGACCTCTGGCCGTCCCCAGACGTGCTGAACTGGAGTCTCTGATTCCGGTCGGATGGGCACAGCTTGTTGCTGCAGCGGGATGTGACCTGCCGAGTGATTTTATTCAGACTCTCTGCCGCTTTGTCTTTGTACAGGATAGCATTGCGGAGACTGCTTTTACAGTAACTTGGCTGGAACTTGTTTTCATGTTGGCCACGGTTGAAGATTTTGTTTATCCTGTTTCGGGCCCTCAGGGCGGTTGGCTTTCTCCAGCTTCAGTTGCTTTTCTTCCTCCTCCGCCGACTGTTGCGGGGAGGCTCACTTTCGTGAGACGTGCCTTGCGACATGCCTTCAAGTGTCTTCGGCTTCAATGCTTGTTCATTTCGGGTGTTGATCGTACTGAGTTGGGGGTCACCTTTCCTCTTGATGGCATTGTCATCGGAGCTGATGAACACCTTCTGCTCCGTGCCAGGGCTTCTCTAGGCCACTTTGCACAGGGGCGCCGTGTGAACTCTCGCGCTGCGCTCGCTCGGCCACTTTAAACTTGTTTCTGACAGACAAGGACGCTCGCAGGCCGCACTGCTCTTGCTGTGCGTCTGCACCGAAGCCCGTGTGAGTTATAGGTTAAGGCATATTCCTTATTTAAGGGATGTCGGCGTCTCTGGATAAAGGGGGCTCGAGGCTCTGGGGTCGAAATCTTCCGGGTTTCAGGGTGTTGGTACAGGAGGTTTAGGGTTTGGGGCTTGAGGGTTTTAGGGTTTGGGGTTTTAGGGTTTAGGGTTTTAGGGTTTGGGGTTTTAGGGTTTAGGGTTTTAGGGTTTGGGGTTTTAGGGTTTAGGGTTTCAGGGTGTTGCACAGGAGGCTGCTGTTTTAAGCACCTTTTTCCGTCTGCAGAGAGTCTCTACTGGAGGTTTAGGGTTTGGGGCTTGAGCAGGGTTTGGGGTTTCAGGGTTTAGGGTTTTAGGGGTTTGGGGGGTTTTAGGGTTTAGGGTCTTAGGGTTTGGGGGTTCAGGGTTTGGGGGTTTGGGGTTTAGGGTTTTAGGGTTTATATAGGCTTGAGGGTTGCAGGGTTGTTAGCACGGGGCTTACTATTAGGGTGGTAACACCTTTGACGGCTTGGGGTTCGGGAGGATGGTTGATCGAGTTCGGTTGAAGGTGTCGGGTGGTTAAGGGCTTAGGGCTTCCGGGGGTTTAAGCTTCGGGCTTGTGGGTCTGCGTTTCGGGGTTTGCGAACCCTAGCGTTAGGATTCGGATTGAGAGATTCAGGGTTCGGCTTCGCGATGCTTTAGGACGCTTCCCTTCGGTTTGGGTTTATGCTTTTGCAGGATGCAGCTTAAGGCCTGGGCCATAGGTTTAGGGTTTAGGGTTTAGGGTTTAAGGTTTAGGGTTTAGGGTTTAGGGTTTAAGGTTTAAGGTTTAGGGTTTAGGGTTCAAGGTTTAGGGTTTAGGGTTTAGGGAGTATGCAGTTATATAAGTGCATCAGACTCTTCGAGCATCCCCGGCCGGCCCACTCTCTTCGAGTGTGCACCACTTAGGCTAGGATACCCAGTAACCTAAGAATAAAAAGGCCTCTCTTTTTGGTATTGGGTAACTTTATAAGGAACCTAGGACTACAAAAAGGGAATAAGGGTACTACTGGGCATCCTAGTAGGGCTGTAAGACTTCAGAGTTTGAGTCTTGACCTGGGCCGCCCGTATGTACCTAAACCCCTGCCCAGACACTATACTATTTAGGGTACTTTATTAGGGTCCCTATTTTAGGAAACCCTCATAGGGCTTTCGGGTGTACTCTGTTTCATCATCTACGGACTACAGGGGAATGCTACCCCTAGAATTTCAGACCCAGACTGCATGATCTTGCTGATCCATGAACCTTCGCTCGGAATTCCTAGATGCTAGGACGGTTTAGAGTCTCCAATGTCCCTTAATTAAGGAATATACCTTGAGTCATATGAGGGATCCTACTAAAAATTTAAGGTATATTCCTTAATCAAGGGATATTGGAGTCTCTGGGTTTCGGGTTTCAAGACCCTGAGTCCCCGAAGCCCGACTTAATTTTTGAAGCCTCTTCTCAAACAGCCCAAACCCGGCAAACGCAAAAGTCCGGCGTGCCCGACCCCTAAAAAAACCCGTGGCACCGGTAGTGTCCAACTCTTAACTTACCTTTGGTTAGTATGGGAATGGAAGAATGGTAGTGATAGTAGTTATACTTGTACCCCATTCCTCCATTCCCTACTACCCTAAACCCTAAACCCTAATACAGTACCCTAAACCCTAAACCCCATTCCTCCATTCCCTACTACCCTAAACCCTAAAGCCTAAACCCTACTACAGTACCCTAAACCCTAAACCCCATTCCTCCATTCCCTACTACCCTAAACCCTAAAGCCTAAACCCTACTCTAGTACCCTAAACCCTAAACCCCATTCCTCCATTCCCTACTAACCAAAGGTAAGTTAAGCCCCACTTGCTAGCGCCCCAAAAAAGCACATAAGCAAAAATTAGGGTAGGGATATCCCATATAAACCCCCTTATAATGAAGCCCACTAAGGTAGGGATATCCCTATCGAATGCTTATACCTATGTGCTTTTTTGGGCCCCACTGCCACTTGCAAGTCCCGAAGCAGCTTCTCGTTGTAAAGCAGCGGCAACAGAAGGTCCCAGATGTCCTAAGTCGCTGTCAATGAATTCCCAGAGACTCCCCTAGAGCCTCGGGTTCCTATAAGGGATCCTTTAGGGGATCTATAGGATTTAGGGTTTTTGCGGGGGGGGGGGTCTAATATCCCTTAATTAAGGAATGTACCTTAAGTTATAGTAGGATCCCTAATATGATTTAAGGTATATTCCTTAATTAAGGAACAGTGGAGTCTCTGAATTCTGAATGCAATGCTCCATCCGATGCGGCGAGAACCGGACACGACAACAGGTCCACGTAGGGTGTAGGGGTTTCGTGTTTTGGGCGGAGGGGATTGGGATTCCGGTGCTTCCTGTCTGCTGAAACTTGTGGATCACAGAAGGCCCACAACCATCAAGTTTATCAAGCTAAGGGCCTGGGTCGAAACGAATCAGAAAATGCACTGCTTCAAAACCCAACACCTAGACCATAAGGGTTGTTGGTTTTGGGCTGAAGGCTTCAAAAAATCAGGGTGCCCTCCACCCTTAAACTCTGCTACAGGGTATCCATGTTCAACATACTATCATTATAACAAGTTTCGGCTTTAGGGTTTAGGGTTTAGGGTTTAGGGTTTAGGGTTTAGGGTTTAGGGCGACCTCATTCTAATTATTCAGGCCGCTACATTCTGGAACCCTACTATGACTCCCTGATAGACACCTTTTAAAAGGAACCCTATAACCCTGATAGGACCACCCGTAAATTCTGCTGCCAGGTATCCATGTTCAAAATACTATCATTATGATAAGTTTAGGGTTTAGGGCCCCAAAAGCTTCTTCTAACTATTCAGGCACCTACATCATAGAACCCTACTATAAATCCCTTATAGACCCACTTTAAAGGAGCCCTATAACCCTAAAAGGACCCTTTGTACGGATCCCTTTAAAGGAACCCCTAGGCCCCTATATTGTGGAACCTTACTCTAGATCCCTTATCGACCCCCTTTCAAAGGAACCCTAAATTGTGCTGCCAGGTCTCCATGTTCAAAGGACACCCATTTAAGTCCAGCCTCGCCAGGCGAGGAAAGGGCTTCGGAGCTTTGCTCCTGTCCTGGACCTTGGTGTAAGGTTAGGAAATTTAAGGTTTAGGGTGTAGGGTTTAAAGTTAGGAGATTTAAGGTGTAGGGTTTTTTAGGTTTAAGGTTACGGGATTTTGGGTTTAGGGTTTTTTTAGGTTTAAGGTTAGGGGATTTAGGGTTTAGGGTTTTTCAGTTTTTTTTAATAGTGCAATGGCTCTTTCGACTCCGCAGAACGTGATGAGCCTGCCGTTGAGGCGTACAGTTTAAGGTCAGGGGGTTTAGGGTTTAGGGTTTTTTCGGTTTAAGGATAGGGGATTTAGGGTTTAGGGTTTTTTGCTTAAGGGTTGAGGGGTTAATAAAACGAACAGAAATAGCAATAGCTATGCTAGTAATCATTGTAATAAGAAGAAGGATTCGCAACGATATAGGAATGCTAGTAAAACTAGTACTCCGAACAATGCTGAGGATGATGCAAGAAAGAAAGCTGCTCGCCTTGTCTTTCAAGGCACGCCTAAACCCTAAACCCGAAACCCTAAACCCTAAACACTTAACCCTAAGCCCTAAACCTTAGACTCTAAACCCTAAGCCCTAAGCCAACAAAAGCCCTGAACCCTAGACCCTCAAACCCCTAAACCCTAAACCCAAAACTGCTCGCCTTATTTTCAAGGCACGAGCTCCGGCTCGGACATGTTGAAGGTCACGCTGGTATCGCTGAGACGTAGGTGGATGAGATCCTGAACCCTAAACCCTAACCCTCAAACCCGATAGCCTAACCCCTACAGTTGGGGGTCACGACCGACATAACAGAAGACGATTTTAAAAAACAGAGCCGAATTTTGCGCCTTCAAAACAGAAGAGGGATAAACAGACCCCTTTTTGGTGGATGAGATCCTGACCAACCTGGCGCCATTCGGAGTTGATGGAGCCGTGGACTCTGGTTCCGCGCAGATCCAGCCAAGTCATGCGACGGTTGTCACGGAGCAGCCGAGTGATGTCACCAGAAACTCCGGTGTACCTCAAGTTTATCTTTGCAGAGGAAAGTGTCGTTCGTGGAGCCATGAACTCACTAGTCGAATGCTGAAACAGTCGAAGAGGGCCTGTATTTATTACCAAGAGCCGTGCTGTCAGTTGTAGTGTCGTTCTGTAGCAACCTTCTATAGTCAGCAGCAACCGCAAGGACAATGTTGATGATAATGGTTGGGGTCGTCATTGACGAAGGCGATATTCACAATGATGATGCTGGCAGAGCTGGTGATGCTCTGCCGTGGCGATGGAGACGACACTGATATGGTAATCATAGTTGTGTTGGGGCGGTGGTGTTAACAATCTCTGTGATAGTTATTGGGTCTTGTGGTGCATGACTGTAAAATGTGAACGACACGGCGTCAATGTGCGGGGCAACGGCGATGGTGATGATGCGTCGGGAGTGGGAGTGGGAGTGGTAGTGGCAGTTGTGGTAGTAGCAGCACTGTAGCAGTAGCAGTAACTGTAGCAGTAGCAGTAGCAGCAGCAGCAGCAGCAGTAGCAGGAGCAGTGGCAAGTAGCCGTAGCCGTAGCCGTAGCAGTAGCAGTAGCAGTAGCAGTAGTAGTAGTAGTAGTAGTAGTAGTAGTAGTAGTAGTAGTAGTAGCAGTAGCAGTAGCAGTAGCAGTAGCAGTAGCAGTAGCAGTAGCAGTAGCAGTAGCAGTAGCAGTAGCAGTAGCAGTAGTAGTAGTAGTAGTAGTAGTAGTAGTAGTAGTAGTAGTAGTAGTAATGGTAGTAGTAGCAGTAGCAGCAGTAGTAGTAGCAGTAGTAGGAGGAGTGGTGTTAGTGGTAGTAGAAGAAGAACTGCGAGTATGATTACTTCACAGTTTACTACTAGTGCTGCTGCTGCTGCTGCTGCTGCTACCACTACTACTACTGCTGCTACCACTACTACTACTATTGTTCACTGCCGTACTCCCCATTATATATGTTTCTGCTGCCCTGGAGTCTCCGGCTTGCTTGCTGCTGCGTTGGCACCTGCTCAACAACAGGCTGCAGGATACTTGCACACCCGTAGATGCCCTTATAAGTTGCAGGTGCTGCTCTGTAAGCACATGCAGACTGTGTAGACCACGTGTAGTTGGTAGGGTGGTGGCTCCTGGTAGTAGCAGCAGCACAGGAAGTAGGAATAACAGCAGTCGTCGTCGTGGTTTGTATACGTGATAGCCAGAGCCGTAGCGGTAGTGGGTTGCGGCAACAGCAGTAGAAGCGTTTCTGGTCCCAGGCACTGAAGGAATATGCCGCGGAGTGTGGAGCACTTCAAATCGGCGAGGTTCCTTGACCGAGCTCACAAGCATATCTGTTTGTGCCGCGAACTCAAACAGCAAACGGCTCAGAAATTGCATCGTTTAGGGTTCAGGGTTTAGGGCCAGATTAGGGTTTAGAGTTGAAGGATATAGAGATTCTCTGGCAGTGTCCTTCTCTGCTTTGCTTATTGCCAGCTTCTCGGCAGGCTGTCTTTGAAAGGCGTTGTGGTCTTGCTGCGGGCTGTTGGGGTTTCAGGGTCCAGTTTAGAAGCATAGTAATAATAGAAATAAAAAATAATAACAATAATAACAATAATAAAAATATTAATTATAGTAATAATCGAACTAATAATACTAATCGTAATAATAGTAATAATAGTGATAGTAATAGTCAGCTATCGGGGAACTCCAATTCCAAGGATCCTCTTGCGGGAGTTGCACTCTGCCAGACAACTGGTTATCCTCAACCCCGAATAACTTACCTTTGGTTAGTAGGGAATGGAGGAATGGGGTATAATTACAACAACTACTATTACTACCATTCTTCCATTCCCTACTAGCCAGCGGTAAGTTAAGCTGCAGACGCACATGCATGCACCTTCCCAGTGCCGCAGAACGCTGTCCTTCAACCACTCTGAACCGCAATTGCGAAACATGCTAACCCCAACCAGCCTTCAACCCTCCAAACGCGTTACTCCCCCAACCGCCAGAGACTTTTGCACTCCCAAACTACACAAACTTGTTCTGAACTCTAAACCCTAAACCCTAACTCTAAGCGACAGGGAATCTAAAGCCTCCAACTTGCAAGAGAGCTTCCCGGTGATCCTCCGGCAACCCCGCAAGTCCAGAAACGCCAGACGGTCAACGTTCAGATCCTCGTGGGATTTAGAGCTTTTAGGGCGTCTTAGGGCTCCGTCCAAGGGTAAACGCATGCAGGGTCTCAGCTCTTAGCGTTTTCGGTTTACGGTAGGAGTGTGAAGTGAAGCACCAATGTGATTTTTGGGGCCATGGGTGCGATGTAGGATTAGTGCTTGTAGGGTTCAGCGTTTAGGGCTTCAGGGGTTTAGGTTAGAAGGGGCCCCCACCCTGTAACAGCGGTATAATAGAAATAGAATAGGGCCCTAATATAATCCTTATAGTCACTATTACAGGGTGGGGGCCCCTTCTAAGGTTTAGGGTATAGGGTTTGGTGCTTCCTGCTTGGACTTTGGAAGGTGGGTCGCGGGCGAAAGGCTGATGCCGTAAACTGCTCAGGGCCTACTTGGAGGTTCATGGGTAGTTATAAGCCGGGTTGTAAGTAGAGTAACTATACGCATAACCCATGCTAAGGGACTTATAACTCCAGTTATAACTACCCATGAACCTCCAAGTACGCTCGACGTCGGTAACCCAAGAACCCGCCCCTTTCGTGGGTTGTGGTTGGATTAATTCTCGAGGCTCAGTTAGGGCTTAGGGCGTAGGGTTTGACAATTGGAGTCAATAACAACACCCAAAAAACTTAACCGAAAAGAAACCTAAATAAACCCTAAACCCAAAAACAAATTAAGCCCTCAATAGAAACACCGTAAACTATCCAAACCTAAACTCCTACACCGACGTTTGAATATCCTACAAAGATAATCTAAAAAAGCCAAAACTATCTAAATCTAAACTCCTACACCACCTTGCAAGATGCCAAGAGACACCGAAGTCGATGACAGCGACGATGCGACAACAACAGCAGCAGCGGCAGCAATAGCAACAGCAACAACAACAGCAACAGCAACACCAGAGGCAGAAACAACGACAAGACAAATATGATGAAAAGCCTGTCATCAGCAACAGTGTAAAACAATAACAACAACTACAGCCACAATGGCAATCACAGTTTAATCACACCGACAACATTCATAATGGCAACAGTAATCACAATGACAAGCATGACCAGCAACCATAGCAAAGGTAGTAGCAGCAAAAGTACACGATCTACAGTCGCCATGAAATTACGCAATATTGGTAATATTCGTTACGTGAGAATGGACATAGAAGTTCTTAAAGATGATAGTAATGGCAATCATCATTGTGAGCATTTGCAATAACAGTAGTAAGGGTAAGCATATTAATGACCGTGATAATCGAATAATAGAAATGATAGCCATAGAAACATTTACAAACCATTATCAGGCCAATAACAGAATCAGTAGCCATACTTGTAAAAATAAACACAAGAAGAAATAGTAACAACAGTAGTAACAACAGCAGCAACAACAACAGTAAGAACAACAATAACAGTAACAACGATTTTATGAATGCCAATGCAAAAGTCACTAGTAGCAACATGCTGGCAATAAAAATGACACAACCCTGACAATCATGCCCTCTGAACCCTGACCACCACCCTGAGCCTTTGCAACGCCCCTCCCCCAGCTCAGAGGCTTCAAAAGGCGGGATGAAGACAGGTGGGGTAATCCTAAAATGAGAGGCCTTATATATAAGGGATCCTTAATCCTACCTACCCTCATCCCACCTTTTGAAGCCTCCGACCGTCCCGCCTTCAGGTCGCCAGTGATGGCAAATTGGTGCTTGCCTAAGTTCTGGTTTCATCTTACTTGGAGGTTCATGGGTAGTTATAAGTGGGGTTATAAGTAAGGTAACTATACTTAGAACCCATATTCGGGGACTTATAACCCGACTTATAACTACCCATGAACCTGGAAGTAGGGGCTGAGTCCTCTAGCCTAGACTTAGGGGCTAAGTACCCTAGCCCAAAGAGGGTTAACCTGTTCAGTTATGGTAGGGTTGTATAAATCCCAAACGGTTAAAGGTTACCTACTTAGCTACTCAGGCTGGGGATGAGTTGAAGGTTTCCGGGTTGGGGATAGCACAGATAACATACTAGCATTACAGCTTAAAGTCTTTATGACGGTAACATGATGTCTTGGCTCTGATATTTGGGAGTTTCCGAAATTCGCGCGCCTACTTTCGGAAACTCCCATTTAAAACTCAAGTCTTTAATGTAGGGGCCTTGGTAATGCCCATTATATAAAGATACACAAGACCAACAGTATTGGCAATTATTTGAGCCCCTATATTATACTAGCCTTATGGATCCCTTCTAGTAGCCCTTATCGACCCCTTTGAAAGACCGCCCCCCCCCCAGTAGTATAGGCAATTATATAAGCCCCTATATGGGTGGTTGTCAAAATTCGGGTCCCTTTTCGGGTCCTTATGAAAATACGGCACCGAATATTTGGGGTACCCTAGAAAAGGGGCCCTAATTTTCTGAGAACCACCCCTATATGAACAAGAGCCCGGCTGCTTGATGAGCCCTTGTAGACCCCTTTTAAAGAACCCCCGCCCCCCACCCCCCCCCAAAAAGAAAGTATAGGTGCTTATATAAGCCCCCTATATTAACAAGAGCCACGGTTTAGGGTTTAGGGTTTAGAGCCCAGCTGCTTGATGAGAGCTTCAGGCCCAGCAGAGACCGGTGGCCCAGATCCGTCAATGCGCCTTTGCAGATGCCCAGAGACTCCAATATCCCTTAATTAAGGAATACACCTTAGATTATAGTAAAATCCCTATTTCTGTTTAAGGTATATTCATTAATTAAGGGATATTAGATCCCCCCTAAACTCTAAATCCTATAGATCCCCTATAGATCCCTATTATAGTTTAAGGTATAGTCCTTCATTCCGGGATATTGGAGTCTCTGGGTGCAAGAGCCCCAAGGTTTTTGGAGGTTGAGAGGTGTGAGTTTCCGAAAATTCGGGGATCCCTGATTTTGGGGGGTCCTTATAATATAAGGATCCTGCTACTTGTGGTGGTATATTCGGGTCCCTTCTTGTCGGAAACTCTCATATAGGGCTTAATAGCACGCCAAATTTGACTGGGTTGTGCTTTAAGCCCTTTGAAAATGATTTATGAATAGGTTCCCTTAAGGAAAGAAGGGAAATTACAAATTATCCCAAAGCACAACCCAGTTGAGGGAGGCTTTAACTTTGAGGCTAACTTGAAGGCTCGGCTTAGGGTTCAGGGTCAAGGGTTACGTGGAGGTTCATGGGTGGTTACATGGGTTCCTTTGAGGGTCCCTTTAAAGGGATCTATAGGGATTCTACAGGGTTTAGGGTTTTGGGTTTAGGGTTTAGGGGTATAGGGTTTAGAGCCTACTTGGAGGATCATGGGTAGTTATGCGTGGTGCTATAAGTCCCCGAACATCGGTTATAAGTATAGTTACCCTACTTAGAACCCTACTTGCAACTACCCATGAACCTCCAAGTACAGGGAGTAGTACCAGTGCCTACGTGCTTCTACCGGTATCATCATCACGCTCCCTTCTACTACTGCACGTCAGCAGGCGACTCTGCTCAACCTATAAGTACCCTAAAAGGGACCCTAATTGGGGTTATGGCACTTATAAGTCCCTAAAATAACCAGTTACGAAGTCCCCCGACCCTCCAAGTGCCCTACCTGCTTTAATCCTGGCGCTTTCGTTCGCCTCGCCGCTCCACCCCCTGGGCCTTGCCCTACGGTTGATGATATAAATCCTGCATTACCCATTAGGCTGATGTGTGTCCATGTCCCTAGCCAGAGGCTCCATAGTAGTTCCTTTTTGAGATTACCTGATAGGATTCTACATACTGTTGATGACATAAATCCTGCATTGCCCATAATAAGGAATATACCATAATTCCCATAGTTGAGGGTCAATTAAGGTAATGCAGGATTCATATCATCAACCGTATCCTGCCGAGGCGGACGACGCGAAGCGCTTACAGTTCCGAGTATCTTTCTCCTGCGAGCACCCTTGTGACACATCGTAGCCACACCGAGAAGGAAAGCACGGTCTCTAAGTCTACGTCATACTCTCTCTCTCAAGGGGGTGATCCACCCCTTCAGGGTTGCCTTGAAGAGTCCCTGGCCGGCCCCTTAAACCTGAAACCCTATGCCGTCGGTTTTGGGCTTTTTTTTTCGGGTTTCGCTGTCATGGTCTGGGGCTTAGGGATGTTAGGGTTTTGGGGTTCAATGTATGGGCGTGCGTGGTTGGATTTAGAGACTTAGGGATTTGGAGACAAGGGTTGATTGCGGGTAAGTTCACGCCTCACGACCCAAGCTGGAAACAACGGCAACTATGCTCGTAATCTGTCGATGGCCCAGGTGATTACGAACTCGCTGCCTGCACATGTCTGGTGAAATATGATGAACGTCGTCTTGCTTCTTCATGATTGGGCCACGACAGAACCGAAATCCATGGTCTTTGCAAATGCTCGGTTCCATGTGTTGATGAAAGCAAACAGAAGTCCTCACAAATTGGTTTAGGATTCAGGGTTTGGGGTTTGGCCAGACCCCGAATCCAACCCACGCACCTGAAATGGGGCAGTCGCGCATATGCAGTTCCACCTTCAATGCCGCTTTTTCGACTTCGGATGTTCTGGGGCTTAACTTCATAATTAGAATAGGGTTTTGGGTGACATTACACTAAACCTGCAATACGGAACTCCCAAAACCCTATGCTACTTTTTAAGGCCGGCTAGTCCGGAAAGCTCGGGCTTCAACACAAAGTGCATGCATGAAGCCGAGATTAGCAAGCAAACGATAACGCATCGGAGAACCCGCCTGAACCCTAAACCCTAAAACCCTGAATCCTAGACCCGCACAGGTCAAAGCTCGAAAGTGTCCAAGAAGTGCCCAACTCCCTTCCTGCCTGCCCCTACCCTGTAATAGTGACTATAAGGATTATGTGGGGGCCCTATTATATTCCTATTATACCACTATTACAGGGTGGGGGCAGCTTCTAGCCTAAACCCGAAACCCTACAGTAGAAGCCAGAAAGTTGGAATATCATTATCGTAACCCCTTTAAGGTAAATTATCGGGGATCCTACCATTAATCCATATTCCAACTTTCTGGAGTTCCCTTTACGGTAAACCTTAACCCCAACACTAGAGCCTCTCAGCTCGCCGTGTAAAGCGGCGATGTTTCAGGACCCAGGGCGACATCATGTCGGTGGCTGTCAATATATTAAAGGTTAAGGGTTTAGGGTTTAGGGTTTAGGGGTTTAGGGTTTAGGGTTTAGTTGTCAATATTTGGGTCCCTTTTAGTACAATACGGCACCTAGTATTTAGGGGACCCATTATTTAAGCCCCTATGTGGGTGGTTGTCAATATATTAGGGTCCCTTTTTGGGGTCCTTATTATGCTACGGCACCTCGTATTTCGGGTACCCAAAAAGGGACCCTAATGTTGACAACTACCCATGTGTTGGGTGCCAGAAACCCTAAAGCCAAAACCTAAAGCCAAAACCGTACTCTCCATGGATCCGAAGGCCAAGTCCCCGCCCTGGCTTTCAGCCAACCTGATGACCCCAGGTCCCAAAAAGCAAAACCTCAAAACACCAACAAAGGGCGCCGCAACAATTAGAATACGGTTTTGGGGGTTACATTTTACTACAAGTACTATCGTTACACTACGGAGCTTTAAGGAATACTATATCACTACGGAGCCTTAAGGAATACGATAATTGGCATTCTTGGTCATCATTCGGGCTTCTATAGTAACTGAGAGGCTTCCTATCGAAACCCCAAGCACTGCGCCCTCCCTACTTAGCTACCTTAAGCCGGAATGACCTACCTTTTTAGGGTTCCTTAGTATGATTTCCTTATATAAGTCCTTAAAAAGGTAGGTTGTTCCGGCTTAAGGTAGGGTCTAGGCTTGGGGATCTGGGGTTCAACAGTTTTAGGGTGTTCTGAGGTTTAGGGTTAACGACTAGGGTATTTGGGGCGCATAGGGTTTATAGGGCCTAAACCCCTAAACCCTAAACCCTAAACCCTAGGGCAGATGGGGTTTATGGGGTTTGCAGGGTTTTGGGTTTGAGGGTCTAGGGCTGACGGCCCCCACCAGGTTTTCCGGCAGAAAGAGGTCTTGGAGAGCACCCTGCACACCTGGCAGGGTTCCTTTAAAGGGATCTATAATGGGATCCTTAAAGGTTCTGTTCGGGTTTAGGATTTAGGGGTTTTAGGGTTTTGAACATGAGCCTCAGAGGGCTTAGGGTCGTACTATAGAGACCTAAAGAATCAGAATAGGTGCGTTTTGTAAGGGGGAGGTAAAACATATAGTATTATACATGTACGACGGAGCCCTGAAGAAAAACACGCGCAGTGATTCAGGCCTCTACTGCGCGTGTCGGGTTGAAAGTGTCGGTTTTGGATTTAGGGTTCAGGGTTTATGGTTCGGGGTTTGGGGGGTGTTGGATTGGGGGTTTAGATGTTCGAGCTTCTGGGCTTAGGATTTAGAATGCTATGCTCTGGTTTAGCATCTGCGGGTTTGGGGCTCCAAGGGGGTTGGTGGCGGGTGGGTCCTTAGCTCCTTTGGAAAAAAACGACTGTAGTGTAAGACACACCATAGACGGCTTCGTCTGGGCTAAGAGTGTTTTGTTTTTGCTGTCTTTGCGATGGCGTCTTTTTTGTTTGCTGTCGTTGCTGGAACCAGGGTTCACGGTTCACTCACTCACTGGCTTCCTGGGCCCACGCAACGAAACCAAAAACGACATCAAGCAACGACAGCAAAAAAAACGCTGGTCCCCTTCGTGTGTCCTAAGTTCCTCTGGGCTGACACTGCATGGCTATGGAAAAGGCTTTCCCGCAGTGCTTCATGTGGAGGTCGTGCAGGCGGGGTCGTCTGTTTCGACCGGCGTATCATCTGCCTGAGTGTTTCTGGAGCCCTTGCCAAGCAACTCTTCCGAAGCCCAGATCCTAAACCCGAAAAGCCTAACTGTACTAAAGCCCGAAGCCCGAAAACTCTCTGCAGGGAGCCCACCGATGGAGATATGGGTGAATCCTGATCTAACTCTTTCGAGGAAAGACATCTTTGCATCCGCCACCTGAGTCGTCGATGAAGAGTCCAGTGAGCTTCTTAAAACATCCTCGGCTCGAGCTGCACGCGTCCTGTAAAAAAGGGTGGGGTTTAGGGATAGGGATACTGTTTACAATTTAAGCCTGGTTCGGGATGAACGATTCAAGGCAAGCTTTCCAATCATGACCAAGCATCGCAGCACACAGCTCATTTCCAGCACTGTGACCACCATCCCGTTGGGGGGAGGGTTCTTAATGGCCAAGTTCCTTACCTCCTGCTCCTCGTCATACTCAAGGCTGAACTTTCCCTCTCCGAAGAAGATTCGACGATTGGCGACTGCCGTGAGATTGATCGGATTCTTGTCGTCGGGCACCCACGTTCTCTTCAAGAACTGGAGAGCCTCGCACAGGCTTCAGGATCGCGAGCACTCGGAAGACCAATTACCTAGAGGTCTAGGATTTACATAGGTTTATTTCGCAAGACACGACGAACATGACGACGACGACGATGTCGGGAAGGAGGGGAGGCCGCCGACATGACGACAACTACAACGTGCTGTAGCTATATACTGTTGCCACTTCTTAGCTATTGTAACTAATTATTCGTGTTCCAGGACAAACCGCACTCGTGGACAAACTGCGTCTTGTCCTGGATTTCCACGGGAAATAAAGCTTTGCATTCGCGACTCCTTTCCAAATCTCTGTTGCCGTGTAAGATGGGGGGCCTTAATCATTAGTATAGGGTTCGGGGGGGGACGTATGGTTGTCAAATTATAGTCCTTTTTTGGGTCCCTATAATAATACGGCACCTAACATTTAGGGTACCCAAAAAGGGACCAGAATTTTGACAACTACCCATAGAATGCTACAATCATAGTAAGGAACCCCCAACACCCTGTTCCAATTACCAAGGCTCCTATAGTACAGGCTGCTCTACGGAAGTGTTGTCGATTGCCCGCATCTCTGAAACATCGGCTGCCAGCCCTCATCAGTAATGTAGGGGTCTTAATTTTTAATTCGAACAGGGTTTTGGGGGACAGCATACTAATTGTTAAGGCCCCTACGTTACTTTCAACAAGGCCTTTGGGGGGGCATAATTAATTTGGAGCATAAGTACAATGAGGAACTCAACAGAATGCGCTTTGGTGATAACTTCGACCCCTTAAAGGACCTCTTCGAAGGACCCCTTTGAAGACCCTCTCTGAAGGACTCCTTAAATTAAAGGACCCCTTGTGGTGGAGCCCTCTCTCGAAAGATCTGAAACCTTTAAAGCCGAACCTTCAGTCAAGGCTCCGTGCAATGTTTGGGTTTAGGGGTTTAGGGGTTTAGGGTTCAGGAGTTTAGGGTTGAGGGTTCAGGAGTTTAGGGTTGAGGGTTGCGGCTTTGGTTTTGGGGAAGCTTGCAGCAAGGAGCTACATGGGCTTTGCCAACACTGAAAGGCTACAAGGCGACAAGGCGAAAAAATCTACAAACCTCGGTGTTGCCCCGAACCATCCGCACGGGAATCTCGTTTCCTTGCGGACCTCTTTTCCCTGACACCCGGAGGAACCCAAAACCCCTAAAGCCCGAACCACCGAAACCGCATGACCTAATGAAGGGGCCTGAATAATTAGAATAGGGTTTTGCGGTATATTCTACCATAACTATAATAAGGAGCCCCCAAAATAGTATTGGTAATGGTTTAAGCCCCTAAACCAAGCGAGCCCCCGACCGCACAAAGTATGACTTGCACATCATGGATGCCCTCTCGACCTAGGGCGAAGAAAATGCTTGCGTCCTCAGTGCATCTTTGCGCTACTTCTATAGGTCCTGCAGGGGATATATAAGGCCAGACATAAGAGCCTGAAAAGCAAACAAATCAATCAGTCAGCGTATAAATAGGTATATGTGCGTTTTGCAGTTCAGCATAAACGGACATTTAGTGTAGATTAATCCCGACTACGCGCAGGGGATGCCCTACATTGATCCCTGAAGGAACTCATGAACGAAGACTCCTAAGGTTTACGGTTTGGGATTTGGAGTTTTAGGCCAAAGCTTGAAAGAAGACTATAAACCTCAAATCCAACCCTCAAGTTCTGCAACCGCAGAGACCCGGAGCCTGCGACCCACGCCCCAAACCCTCAACCACCCCAAACCCTAAACCCAAACGTCTCATGCCTCAACATTGCGATCGTAAGGGGATCCTTCGGGATCGCAGATGCTCTTGCAGTCGACAGGTCCTGCGTCTTTGGGTTTTGGGGTTTTGGGTTTAGGGTTTACGATTCAGGGTTTAAAGTTTTCGGGTTTAGGATTTAGGGTAGGATCGCAGATGCTCTTGCAGTCGACAGGTCCTGCTTGCCAGAATTAAAAACCGTTTTCGCAAGTCTTAAGGCAACCCTTGCAGTAGATCTCGTACGAGTACAAAAAACCAAAAAAATTAACAATACTCGTAATAATAATACCAATGATTATTTTACTTCGAACATCCCCACCCTAGCGCCTTGTCCTTCCTACACGCAAGTCCTAAGACCTAAAGAACCCGAGCCTAAACCTTAAACCCTGGTGTTCCCGAGCACTCCAGGGATTCTCACGGTAGTCTGTGGGGTTGGGCACTCCAGGGATTCTCACGGTATGTGGGGTTGGGCACTCCAGTGATTCTCACGGTAGTCCGTGGGGTTGGGCACTCCGGGGATTCTCACGGTAGTCTGTGGGGTTGGGCAGTCCAGGGATTCTCACGATAGTCTATGGGGTTGGGCACTGGGCACTCCAGGGATTCTCACCGTAGTCTGTGGGGTTGGGCACTCAGGGATTCTCACGGTATTGTCACGGTAGTCTGTGGGGTTGGGTACTCCAGGAGGTAATCTCAGCGGGCGAGGAGTAATAGCTGGCTTTAAAATCTAACAACCCCCCACGCCGAGGGTGGGGACGGAAAGCCTGATCGTAACCCTATTCGAAGCAGTAACCCCGCCAGGGTGCGGAGATTGTTTGGGGACTCACCAAAAGGAACCTATTTAACTTGTAGAACTGCTCATGGGCCGCAAGATCTGAGCTGCGGAAATGCAGTAAACTTCGCTAGTAGACACCGAAGCTCTTGGTTACTACTAAGTGCTATCATAACGATCCTTATCATGATATATATATATATATATCTCGTTTATCATTATTGCTACTATTAATATTATTACGATTATTCTTGAGGAATCCCGGGGCTCAAACCTGGCATCCCTCGGCCCCAGATGCCTCCTCCCTCGAAGCATTACACCCTCACAAAACTGGCCCCCCCACAAGCAAGCAGACACCCAAAGGAAGCTCCTGAACTGCAAACCCAAAATCCACAAACTCCCACCGCCGCCCGCAGCGCCACCCCCCTTCAACAAAAGGAAGGAGCTCCTTCCGCTTTGGGACCGACGTCGACCAATTGAGCTTGAAGGCCTTGGCCAAAAACTGTGAAAGGTCCTACGCCCTGAACCTGCCTCTTGCAGTGAAATTATTCGGTTTAGGGTTTAGGGTTTAGGGTTTAGGGTTTTGGGTTTAGGGTTTAGGGTTTAGGGTTCAGGGTTCAGGGTTTAGGGTTTAGGGTTTAGGGTCTTTCGCCTTTTTGGCTGAAGGCCTCACACCCTGAACCCTAAACCAATGCCCTGCGCCCTGAAGGCTTGGAAAGCCAAACCATGCACCGTTTTTGGCTTCTCGGGATCTTTGGGCTTCCCCCTTTTGGGGTACCCTAAATAGTAGGTGCCCTATGATAATAAGGACCCAAAAAGGTACCATAATTTTGACAACCACCCTCATGGACGCAGAGCATCGGATGGTTTCAGGTGCATAGGGTCTCGAATTTAGAGCAGTATGTCTGGGTATGGCCCCCACTCACTAATAGTTGAATAATATTCATAATATAGATATATTTGGACCTGAATAGTAGCCCTATTACTGACTCTTACTGCATGGGGGCAGTACCTAAAGTATGTCCCAAGGTCCCAGCGTTTTGGGGTGCGAGATCCTCATCCCTACACCCTAAACCCATGAGCCTACAACTCCCCCACCCTTCAGACCCTTCAAACAACTGCCACCCTCAACCCAAAGCCCCCAACCCTAAACCCCAAATCCAAAACCCGAAACCCAAAACGCTAAACCCACAACCCTACAAAGTGTCTATGCGCACTGCACTCTAAACTCTGGCCCCTAGACCCTAGACCCCTACACCCTACTTGTAGCCCAAACTGCCTTTTAAAGCAACTATGTAGAGAAACCCATAATGAGGAACCCTTAAAAAGATAGGTCTTTCCGGCTTCAGGCAGACACTAAGCCCGAAACCTTCGACTCGAAACCCTGAACCCTACTTGGAGGTTCAGGGGCAGTTATAGTTTAGGGTTTAGGGTTTAGGGTTTAGGGTTTAGGGTTTAGGGTTTAGGGGTTTAGGGTTTAGGGGTAGGGTAGCTATACTTATAACCCATAGTAGGGGACTTAGAACCGTGAACACCACTTATAACTACCCATGATCCTCCAAAGAAGAACGTGCAGATGAAGCGGCCACCACCCAGCGCCCGATTCCGACAAACCAGGATCCAGGCGATGGCAGAGCGCAATTTGGCGGAAACCACCATGAGTCTCACATGGGTTCTCTTTGGGGTCTACCCCTTAACCCACCAGAATCTACATTTTTTGTAGGGTCCCTGAGTATATGAGTTCCTTCTAGAAGTCCTTAAAAAGGTAGGTTCTTTGGGGCTCATGTAGGGTTTAGAGTCTGGGGCTTAGGGATTTGCACTGGTCCCAAGAAATTCTTTAGGGGCTTACTTGGAGGTTCATGCGTAGTTATAAGTGGGACTAGGAAGCCTTTCATACGGTTATAAGTATAGTTACCCTACTTATAATCCTACTTATAATCCTACTTATAACTGCCATGAACCTCCAAGTAATACACACAAAGCGATCTGCCACACTGTCGAGGTTTGACGGTTTCCGGGTCTGATGTTCGGCTTTACCAAGGGAGTGGGTCGGGGAAGTGGGGTGGGCTTTGGGCTCGTGCTCCAGGCTCATCTTGGCGAAAGTTAGGAGTGGGTTAATTTACGTCGGCTTTGGGGGGGGCGATGAGCATTTGGGGTTCGAGTTTTGGGTGGGGTGGAGTTGCTGTAGAGGTGACGCAGCTTTGAGCACGAAGCCATCGCCGAGCACTTATCACGGATGCCATACACATAGCACGAGATAGCCAGAACATGACATATGATGAGGTCTTATACATGTAGCCGCGCCTTGTAACTGAACTTACCTTAAGGACCTTAGACTATGGGAATTATGGTATATTCCCGATTATGGGTACAGTAATGCAGGATTTGTATCATCAACAGCATCATAGACGAACACAAACTGTTCTAGCCGGTGCACGCAGAGGCAGGAAGCCAGGTGACAAACCCATTCGGCTGATGTGTGTCCATGTCCCTACCCAGAAGCTCCATAGTAGTTCCTTTTGGGGATTACCTTATAGGATTCTAAATATGATGCAAAAAAAGGAACTACTGCGCGGAGCCTTAGGGTACCAACCCTGAACCCCGAACCCGTAACTCGAAATCCTACAACCAGGTACAAGCAAGAGGCCCGTTGTATTGAGGTTACGGGACGCGAGACGCGGGAAGCGGGACGCGGGACGCGCAGGCGCGACGACACACGAAAATTAGCCTATTATGTATCTAGCGAGATGTAGAGTCGCACAGCCCTGAACCCCACCCCAAAGTGTCGTTCCGCGGATGACTTTAGGATGGAGTTTAGCTATGAAGTTTCAACTACCTCAGTTTGAGTGTTGAGAGCTTGGAATTTGGAGTTTAGGTTTAAGGTCCAGCTTAGAGGTTTGTCGGTTTCAGGAGGTTCGCGGGTCCGGGGCTTGGGGCATGGGCTTCGGATTTTTCTGAGGCATAAAATTATCAATGCACCCAGTTTGGTGCGACTTCTGCTGCTACTACCACGGCTCAGCACTTTCTCACACTCTTCACAACAGCGTCCTTTTCAGAAGCTCGTGGGACTGTGCAACTGAAGCCGTCCCACGTCTTGCAACGCTTGGTTCCCTCTAGGGTTCGGATCAAAGTGAGCTGTCCTCCAATGCCTGAAATGCAGGTGCCTTGTAAACCCTTACCTTATTTCAAAACCCGTATCTCAAGAAGCATATAGGAACACTTATTTACACCAGCTATACAGAAACCCACACAGTACCAAAAGAAGCTATGTGGGAGTTTCCGAAAATTAAGGGTACCTTCTTTCGGGGGCCTTATAATAGGGATCCTATATACTGGGTGCAACTATTTTCGGAAACTCCCATGTAGGAACCTAAAGCAGAACCAAGCGTTTGGAACAACCCCAACGCCGCCCTTTTGAAGGGAGACGATGGCCCCGTGCTCCAAGTATTAACCGTGGTGCTTGGCACTGAAGAATCATTCTGAGAGGCTTAGGGTTCCCAAGGTCCTTGAAGCATACTACCCTAAACCCTAAACCCTAAACCCTAAACCCTAAACCCTAAACCCTATACTACCCAGCATAGGGGCCGCAATCCTTTGAAAAGGGTTTTTAAGGGGTATAGTATACGGCAATTATACAAGAAACCACGGACAAGCATTGGCAATTAGTACACTAGCTTGATGGATCTGGAATGAGTTGGGTCCAAGGCGGGTCTGAGTTTACCGACTCCGACCATATAGAGAGTCTAGTTGTATCTTTCTAGTTCATTCAGAAACTCACAAGTCACAAGAGGGTTTAGCGTTTAGGGGTTAGGTTCTCTACTCTACACCCTAAACTCCACTGTCTACATAAACTCTGAACCCTAAACTCTCAGATCACTCTGTTTCACTGGCCTTCCCAACGACCACCTGGATCGGTGCCTGTCCGAAAAGGCCTGCAGCATCTTGCTGCTTCTTCTTGAGCTTCGCCTCCGCTGCCGAAGCAGGCTTTCGTCTGTTTCAGTCAGGGCTTAGGGTAAAAGCCAGAAAGTTGGATTATGATTATCCTAAACCCTTTATGGTAAAATATAAGGTATCCTACCCTGAAACCATATTCCAACTTTCTGGAGTTCCCTTTATAGGGTTTGAGAATCAGGGTGTGGGATTTAGGGAGTAGGGGCTCGGGTTGTGGATTTCAGGCTTTTGGTTCCGGGTTGAGGTTTAGGGTTTTTCTCGGTTTAGGGTTTAGGGTTTAGGGTTTAGGGATTAGGGTTTAGGGACACCCTGCAGGGCGTAGGGCTTAGGGTTCCGGTTTGAGCTTCTTCTTCTTCTTCTTAAGTTTCACTTCCGCTCCCCGAGGCAGAGGTACTCAAGACAGGAGGCTCGAAGGGGATACCTTTAGGGTGCAGGGTCGTCGAGGATCTGAGGTTTGGGGTTGAGGGTTGCCTTAGTAGCCTTTACACTTTACAACTTAGAGACCCCAAATACTGAACAGGAAGCCTAAACCCTCAACACCGAACCCCTGACCGCTAATCCCTAAACCCCAACCCCCTCAAACCATAAAGTCCTAAAAACCACTAACCCTAAACCCTTAAACCCTCAACCCCAACATCATATACACCTAAACCTACAGAACCCACTCTTGGAACCCTTCAAATGCAACCCTAAAGGTAGATACTCCCTATTGAAAAAGGACACCATACTGTTCTGTTCTGTTCTGTTCTGGCAGCCAAACCAGCTGCAAGGAGCCCCCGTCCAAGGGCAAGGAAACAAAAGACCCACAACAACCCTGAAAATTTGTGGAGCAGATGGACGGGCCATCAAAAGCTATAATGAGCACCGGACAAAGCAGGTGCTCAGTGAGCTTTTCAAGGCACAGCGGCTCCACTGTGCAGATCAGATGCATTTCCAAAATCTTCTATGCTTAGCATGGATCGCCTTGGCCATGAGCAGCACATCAGTGAAAGCTTCGCATGTTGAAGGCATCCAGACCTCACTTGCTTGAAGCTCCCTGCCAAGAGCGCGACGCAAATTTCGCCTCTCCGGCTCAAAACAGTTACAGTTCAGCCACACATGGTGCCACAAGGTTCCTGCAGAATACCTGCGGTCACAAGCAATGCAGTATTGCACGTTGGCCTGCGACGACTTGCCCTCCACATGTCCCAGCTTCAGGTACCCCGCTCTAAATTTGATGAGACACAGTACTGCATGTAAGGCTTCCCAAGGGAGCTGCTGCGCCAAGTTGCTGGGGGATTCGGGTAGGGAAGAATACCAGACAGGGGCAGTATGGCAAGCTAGGTCCGAAAGCAGCTGCGATTGACAGAGCACAGTGAGGTGAAGTTTGCAGTAGGACGCATAGGATTCAAGGCTGACTCTCGTCGCGGGCACGGAGGCACACCAAATGGGCCAGTCTAATAAGCCCCATTCATGCAGGAGATGCTTTGATCTTGTCGTCCAAGTGTTGTAGACATGATAACAGGCGGTGAACATGGACCCTGCTAAGTTCGCTTCAGCTGCCTGCCACAGCCTGGCTCGGCGGCAAGCAACGTCCAGCACACATTGCGCCGACCCAGTCATGTGCCAGCCAAGTTCAGCTAAAGCGACTGCAGAGCTTCTCCACGGCTCAGCCCCTAGCAACGTCTTTGCCCACACAGACTGCACAGTATCCAGTCTTTCACGGGATCTTGGGGACAAACCCCACAGCCACCTCCCGAATCGCAGACTAGCACTAACCTTCAGTTCAAAAATATGAAGTGCCACAGAGAGGGGCAAAGAGCCTCCTTGCACCATACCTGCTAAAACTGCAACCTTGGATTGTTGAGCTGCAATGATGGTAATCGCGTGCCGCTCCAGCGTGGATTGGAAGTCCCACGTTAGTCCGAGCCATCTATGAGACTCAACAAGATGTAGGGGAGTCGGGGCAGGCATCGTAAAAGACTGGTACAAGAGAACCGCATTAGACACAAAAGCCTCCATTTGGGAGGGCTTACTGATGACCATGACAACTGATTTGCTGTTGGAAACGTGCAGGCAGGTCTTGTACAGTTTAGACCACGCTGCAATGATACGCAACATTCGTCTGAGCTCGCCTTTGCTTGAGGCCAGAAACAACGGGTCATCAGCATGCAGCAGCACAGGAATGCGGAGTGGATCAGACAGGTCCAAAGCCCGTGCTGCGCTTGCTTCCAAATCTGTATCCTGCGCCAGCATGTAAGCAGTCGGGAGCGAAGCCCCAGACTGAATAGCTGACAATAGTTGTTGAGTGATGTCTGCATTAGGGGTACCTAAGCCTGACCATACATGTTGCTTCCAACATTCCGGCATGGGCCTAGACCAAGAGACGCCACATTTGTGTTCCAGTAAAGTCACCACCAACGTGTCTGGCACGAAGTTGAAAAGAGGAGGCCCGATGCGACAACCTTCGGGGACTCCCGACAACACCTCTTCCCAGGAAAGGCCACTGAGTGGTAGCAGCCATGTGTCGCTTTTAAGCATCGAATGGAAAAGAGCCAAGGTACCACCTCGTAAGCCTGCACGAGAGTGCAGGTTTTCTATAAGAGATGCGCGCCAAGATCGCGGAAATGCTTTAACCAAGTCAGCGAAGAAAGCAAGCAAAGGTTGATTGCGTTCCAGAAAAATGCTGCAAATTTCATGAAAAGAAAAGTGTGGGTCGGCAACATCTC